CATTTGATATGCTTCTAAAGCCCAAGAATAATAACCTTTGGCTTAGGAAATAGATACATTTTATGATAAGTATTACTTTTGCACAAGTCTTTGATACTACAATTTCTTCTTTATACAAAACTTTCCTTTTTATCTAGTACTTTGATACAGTGCGCGCGATTTTTTCTGTGTGTGCGCGCGATTCTGCTGTGCGTGCGTAAAAATTGTGCGTGCACGTGATTTAATTAAGTTGCGTTTGGACCACCATACTTGTAGGGGATCAGCAGCATTTAAGTAGCGGTGAACACAGTGAGTGGCGTGCAAGAAATCACCCTTTGTCCCACATGGTGCGCAACTCTAGCACCGCACCAAATCATCAGATCGCTATGACAATAACAATAATATATAGCGATCACAATAGTGTGCATGCTATTGTGCCATAGACAATAGAAAGGGTATCCGTAATTGGTAATTATTGACAGCAAACAATAAAACAATCAGTAGCGGTTAAATTTGGTCATGCATCCTTAAATCTCATTAGCCTCCCAAAAATCAGAGTCGTCCTCTTCCTCTTCCTCTTCCTCTTCCTCTTCCTCTTCCTCTAGTTGAGAGACAGTTACAGAAGTCGTGAAGCTGGGTGTTCCACTCTGTGCGTTTTGAGACATTGGCGGGGCAAACCTAGGGTACGGGCAAGCATATGCAAACACTATGGTAGGTGCTGCCACAGGTGCGGGAGAAGCAGAGCTTCCGGAGTCTTCACCAGCTGGGTATGACGGCGGAGCGACCACAGTTCCGGAGTCTTCACCAGCTGGGTATGACGGCGGGGCGACCACAGCTGTGGCCCGTTTACACGTGCCGTTGTCCAAATGCCTTTTGTACGAATCACCTCTCGTATAACTAGTCACCACAACGTTAATAATGAGATGCGTCAATCATAAGAGTTAGGATACGCACGACTTTGAACAAAGAGAACATTTAATTCTCTTTAGTTTGGAGCCTTGGTGTTTGTCGGATAATGTGTGCTTACGATAGCCGTGGGGTCCAATTTCCCCGCCGTCTATCGAGCAAACAAATTTCCCTGTGGGTTGACCGTATTCATCAACTACGGGTTTCTGTCCCAAGGTTTGAGAGTGCGACCTCAATGAGATGAGAAAAAAAAAACTCACGAACAGCGGATCGCTGTATATCTTGTGTAAGCTTGTTGTTGATTTTTTGGCCTTGCAGCGTCGACGGACTTGACAGCTTGGTGCTTGAGACAGAGACGAGGAAGCAGAGCCCATTGAGAGCTCAGGCCCGTGATGCTGGTTGAAAATTCCTTGGTGGGGGATAGGTGGAGCGTACGCGTAAGGGTTCGCCACTCCCGGAATAGATGGGAAGAGTTGATGATATAGGGTGCGCGCTGGTGGGGGAGCAGCGACATTTGGCGGTAGGTATTGGCCAATCTGAGTGGCGCGCGAGACATCAACTGCAGGGGGGTAATGACCATTTTGTCCCGCTTGGAACGCGTGGTGCGCAACTCCAGCACCCGCATCAGTCGAAGGTACGACAGGCGTGTATTGGGGCGCGGGACCACGCGTCCAATGAGGCGGCACACCGTACGGGTGGTAGGTGGCGTAGCCTGGATAGGGAATGTATGCGGGCTCGGGCCCGGGTAATCGACCCATATGCATGCTACTGCTTCCTATGTGTCGTGTTGCTTCGGAAGAATCCGAACTGTGTGGTGAGGAGGCAGGGGGGGTGGATTGGGTCATCTGGAGGTGACAAGTAGATATGGTTAGAAAGCACAGGCGTTGAAGCTGGGGAGAGCCGTACCTGGGCTCCCATATAGTGATTTGAGATGTTAAGGTTGTCTGTATGCGTCCGTGGTGATAGAAAGTCCAGTAGATGAGGGACAGAGGGTGAAGGCCACCGTTGTATATGCTCATCCACCGCTGGTATTCTCGAGGTTTGTTTCCACTGGGAACTTCCTTTCGGGGAAGATTGTCTTTGGGGCGCCATTATTCACTAAACGGACGGTGGTTGTTTCGTTCGACGCGTCGGTTTTTCTTCCACACTTGAGTTTTTCAGTCTTGTTTCAAGTGCACGATGATAAAAAAAAGAAGTGCGCCGTTGATGAACCGTGGAATGTTTGTGTTCCCCTGAGGTCAACAATCTGATTGGGGCATCGTAACTTATGTTTCTGGCTCCGCGAAATAGTTGAATAATCGTAAGTCCATGGCCGATTCGCATAAGTGACAAGACTCATCAGGTCTCCACGAGTCATGTCGGTGCTCTGGGAGAAACTGTCTGGTGAACTTGTCAACAACGGTCACCAAGAACGAACCCACGCGAGGTGCAAGAGGCGATGCAAAATTCAATGTACACCACTCGCATCACGTTCTAAACCCGTGCTTTTAGAGACAGCCAGCATCCAACTCGAGGGCACTCAAGAGCGAAGCTTCACAGGAAAGATCACCATAACAGCATTTCCTTGCGCGTACTCACAATTTTATCTGGTTTCCTTTATCACACCATAACATGCCGTCGTAGATTCTGGCCCAACTTGATTCCTCTGACCAGGCTAGAGAATATTTTCGACCAACATTTGATTTTCCTATCTTCATATCTACACATCCGAGTTGAAGGAGATCGCCGCCTTGCAACATTAGTCGATTGACGTAAAGGTGTGTCTTTGTGACCCAACTGAGAGCCTACAACCGATCGCTTTTTAGTGTTTGTACGAAGAGCAAGACAACATAAATCGCAAGGAATAACCTCCTGGCCCAGAAGGACAGGTGATACGGATGCCGTGAACGGTAAAGGAGCAAAAATTCACTTACCCATGACATCGACTCAAGGGAGCACCAAAAGCCGCCTTCACCGTTGAACAGTCGTCTCTGGCATTGCTTTGAACTGCTGCGGCTCATAAAGACAACACAGAAGCGACATCCGCATGTCCTGGTGCAGCCTGAATCCAGAAGTCTGGATCGGATGGAGCGACAGCATGTGCGTGAAATAACTGATTATAAAGGTGAAACTGCGTTATTGCTGGGCAGAAAGTCATACCTGAGGACACAGGGGTATCTTTGACACTGCAATGTACGACCAGCGCATTGGTATAGACTTTCGAAGTGCAGCAAAACGTCGACCAGGTAATATATTTCCAGTCATAATCATTCATGGTTTCAATACTGATGCTTCGACCACGCTAAAGATCGATTGTCATTTGGTTGCCATATGACCTTCCTATTCTCCTGCCAGTGCGCCTTACAGTTTGCGGTGCGTGTCAAAGATCCTCTGCGTCATTTTTGATGGGCCTACTCTGAGGCCGCACTCGCATCAACTTTGCAATGGTTTCGTATATGACGCCATAGGTGCAGACACGCATTTGAATGAATTTTAGACGATCGTCGACTTGGTGCAGCAAAATGCGCTGTGCGTGCATGAAGAGAAGGAATACTGTTGGTTGACCTCCGAGTCGGTCCTCGGATTCTAAGCGTCACATCCGAATCCCGATAGTTAGCGTTTGTTGTACTGTTGTTTAATTGTTGACTCTCACGTTTGCATACTGCAGCCTACAGCACACTACTTGGTTTGGCCTACGAGAATGCGAAGCTGGTTGAATCTAGCGAGCTTGAAAGTGAGGTCAAACGAGCTTTTCATCATTTCAGTGCAAGATTGCCAATTTGCGACCTTCAACTTCCAGCTCATGGATTATGATTCTATCGTGGACTCTCCTTGAAGACAAGTTTCATGCTCTGAAGGAACTCACGTTGCGCCGTGGCATGAGAGAACCACGCGGGTGGATGCCGCTCCAAGGTCAGATCATATTCTGTGGATTGTTCTAGAGCAAGCTACGGTCATCCTCAGCTAGTAAGGACATATCGTGCAAAGATCCAAAGATGTGGATTTCGCATCAAGTGCTGGTGACTCAAGTACCCATCACCGGAGCATTGTAACCTCCTTTGTCCCTCTCAAGGTCCATATAACTTCGTGAACCTTGGCTCGTGCATTTCTCTTAGATCCATCCAAGTCAAAAATGTCACTCCCTGGATTAGTGTCAACACCTGTATGAAGTTGAAAATCGAACAGTAAAACCGGGCTTACGAACGCGGCAGCCTGATAACATCCGAACCGGCAGTCACCAAACACAGGTGCGTTTATTCTGCGCTCCTGTCGAATTCCGTCAAGGCGATAAGCCACTCTTACTTACCAAAATGGACCTATGATCTGTAACACATGTAGCGCTGACCGAAATCAATCATATTTGTGGATGAAACAATTTTTATCGCAGGGCCGTACGTCGTATGATCGGATCTAGGGTCTATTTCAATACTACCCTGGATGGGAAGGTTCAAGGTACGTCTGCATCAAATTCCTTGTCGTTAACTGATGAAAACGAACAGATGCAAGTCTCAGACATGTGCAGCAAGGCTTTTTGACGTCTCGGAAAAGCCTTGAGATGTGTTGGCCAAATAATGAATGTCGGAAGTGGATATTTCCGGGAGAGAAAAAAGCCGCTGAGTACATGAATATTGCGGCACCGAGTAGTGCGGCTAGGAACCCCACAGGTAAATTGAATAGTGTGACTATTATGAAATTGAAAGTGTGTTCAGTGCCGTTGTCGTGGAACTTACCTGTTGAAGTTTCTAGATTTGGCCAACAGATCCAAAGCATGGAACCAGCGCACAGGTGGTCGAATGTGCTTCCTGCCTGCATGAACCTTCTGATGCTCATGACATACTATTTATGGCAATTGTCATACAACAGTCCGCCGGCATCCTTCTTTCAGGGGTACAATATCTACCCCTATCCAAATCTTTAAAACTACGCGCTTCTAGTCTAAATTTTTTTAAATTAGCCCATAACAATGGCATTTCACTTACGAGCACATGATTATACCCACATCTGGGCCCACCTCCTCATAAACATCATTTTCATGAGCACTAAAGTGTTCCCTTCCTGGACCGGAGTGTGCTTTGCCGTTAGCATGGCGGCAACCTGGCTTTTCGCTGTCGTCCTAGTACGAATTCCATTTACCCGCAGAATGTTACTACAGGATTTATCCGGCCTTTGCATGCTATGCTCGGTCTTTTCGGCATTGTGGATATGCGTCTTCCAATGGTACGATCGTGGGACCGTGAAACCGGAGATGGTGACATGGGCAGGTAAAGTCGCAGCACTGCATCTTCAGGAACTCCAATTAATGTACATGCATACCGAAGATGTTCTAAAACTAACTGCCATATTGTTGGGTTCTATGTTGGCATGGCAGGTGGAGTTCGTAGTCATGTTGTGTTTCTGGGGGAATTTGCAGTGGAAAGATCCGATAGCGACATTTTGGTGGTTGATCACCTTGGGTCCGGCGTTTCGTGATGAGGGCGACCCGGAGAATGATCTGCACTTGTTTACATATTCCTCGCTGGTAGGTATTTCATTTAGTATCTATAACCAAGCTAATCAATATTACGTTCAAGCTCCACGAGGATCCTGATTTGTTGTTCTTGCAACTTGACGAGAAAGTTTTTACATCTGAAGTCTGAATGCTCACGGCATTGGGCTATCTCTTCTAGACCTGGCTCTTCCATATCTTTCCACATCGCTACATATGTCGTAGGCACCTAGGGCGTGCGCCCCCAAGAAAGTCTCTTTCAAATTCTCCGTATTATTCCTCATCAAACACTAATTCAATGCCTTCATCCCTTGCGGCCGCTATCGCAGCTTCTTGTCTCCTCTTAAAGTGCATTTTCAATGGAGTAATAATGTCACACTGCCCTGCAAAACAACGTCAGAAAACCCCGCAACGACTTTCCCGATGACCCACCTTCTATGAGCATCAATCTCACCACCAGCCGTTCAATGGAATGTGATCACGTGTTCAGGCGCTTTAGGTGCACAGCTTATGCTGCTGTGAAGCGAACACCAGAATACAACATGTAAAGAAATATACCAGTAAGCAGTGGATTCAGTTCTTACTTGACACCAGAACCATCATTCCCCGCTGCCTGACTATCGCTGCTGAGAAAACCTCCTCGTAAGTGATAATTCCGAAATTTGATCGATGAAAGCTGAGACCGCACTCCACTGCTCTAGTCAAAATTCTGGAATATGGCTTCATTCACCGCTAAAACGAAAGAGACATTAACGATAACACCTTGCCAAAAATTTGAAGGACATACCGAAAGGGTCCCAGGCATCATACACCTGCCAGGTGGAGAGCGAATCATGACTTGTTCATCGGATGGCTCGCTGCGAGTGTGGAACTTGAAGAGCGGGAAACAGATAGGAGAAGACTGGAGAGACGGTGAAGGTGAAGGTGAAGTGTAAAGGCGATATTACGAGCGCGGGACCGAGAACGACGAGGAGTGTATCACTAGAACACAAAGGTAAATCTCAGTTCGTTTGAAACGACTCTATTGATCTATGTACCTAGACAACAAAGGTAACTCCGAGCCGTTAGTTAACGTAAACGGCGGGTACGAGAATATACGTACATCTCAGTTCGTTTGAAGCGAACGTTCGGACGCTGGAGCTGCTCCTTTTAAGGTGAGTGACATGGTTACTGGATATGAGAGAGAAATATTGAAAAAGATTTGCAGGACACGGGCAGACGTCATATACGTCGCTCGTCTATGTCCAAAATGGCGTGCGCTCGGACCTATCATTCCTCCCCTCGTCCTATCTCGGATCTCTCGGCCTCGGACTCCATCAAAGTGAACTGTATAGCGTTGTCTCCGGACGGGAAGAAAGTGGTTAGGATGACTTGAGCAAGATAGGAAAATAATTAAAATGGTATTGTCACAGATGTGATATTAGATTTAGTGTATTCAAATAATCTTCTCTTTACATCGTAGTAATCCCTTCAAAGACCAAAGGTTGCGTTTCTGCACAGCTGGAAATGCACCGTTGCAGCTCGTCACGAACATATACAAAATTCTGTGTAGTTCCGTCCCAACATCATACGGGAGGGGAAAGTGGGATTAAGATTGGGATCGGACTCACCTAACAACATTCTCCTGGATTTCGTCATCGTTGACCATCTCGCCGTCAACACCAAAAGGGATTCGATCAATGCTGATATCAGCGCGTCGAGCAAACCTGCTGCTCTCCCTCCTGAACCACAGCCAGCATAAGAGTAGAGGTGGATTAATTGCGGGTCAACCTGTGGTTGTGAGGAGGGGGATGGTTATCCACAGGGTTTGGATTTTGAGTGTGTCGCTTGTACCTAGAAGAACAGCGAGCCCATTGAAAAGAAAGACGGACTACTACTATGAGCGATATTTCCAGCGATGATGCGAGAACGATTTGGCTTTCCCAAGTGCGGCGCTGAGAATTTCAACAGCTTTTAATTGATACGGCCTTGAAAAGCATGGCACCGAGAATCGAGATCAAGTGGGGCCATCAAGTCATTGATTCGAGCAAAGCGAAGATGCAGTGAAAGTCACGTTCGCGAATGGTACCAAGAGGCAATGCACGGGTGAATCAGTCCCCTTGGGCTTTTGGCTGGCGTCTATCCTTCGGGTCACACTGAGGCGGGTCACACCGCGGGTACAATATCTACCCCTATCCAAATCTTTCACGCGAAACTACGCATCCTTGCCCTCGTTCCTCCGGCTTCAAAGCTTCAAGCTTGCAAGTACCATCAACTCTTATCTAAATCTTTCTAGATTCGCCCATCACAATGGCACTTCACATAATAGCACATCGATGTGTCGTCTTCTGGACTCACTTCCTCATAAACATCAATTTCATCAACAGTAATGTGTTCCCTTCCTGGACCGGAGTGGGCTTTGTCATCAGCATGGCGGCAACCTGGCTTTTCGCTGTCGCCCTAGTACGAATTCCATCTACCCGCAGAATGTGCCAAGAGGATTTATCCGGCCTTTGGCTACTATGCTGGGCCTTTTGTGTATTGTGGGGATCCATCCTACTATGGTACGATTCCGAATGGTACGATCGTGAGACCTTGAGACTGGAGTGGAAGTGGACAGGTAAAGTCGCAGCACTACATCTTCAGGAACTCCAATTAATATCATGCATACCGAAGATCTTCTAAAAGATTTGGCCATATTTTTCGGTTCTACATTGGCGTGGGCGTTGGAGTTCGTGGTCATGTTATGTTTCTGGGGGAATTTGCAGTGGAAAGATCCGATAGCGACATTTGGGTGGTTTATCTTTTTGGGTCCGGTGGTTCGTGATGTCGATGAGGGCGAGCCGGAGAATGATCTGGACTTGTTTGTAAATTCCTCGTTGGTAGGTATCTCATTTAGTATCTATAACCAAGCTAATATAAATTACGTTCAAGCTCCATGAGGATCATGATTTCACAGCACAACCACGTAGATTACTGCTTCCGGGAAACGGAAACACAGTGCAGTCTGGCCTTTTCCAGTAATTTCTTGCATTTCCCCAAATGAAAAATACACCCAGCTGTTGTCTTTCAATACAATCTGAAAATACAATCAAACTATCCTTTCGTTGTGTCGCAAATATTGATCAATATATATGGGACTTAGTCGCGATTTTGTTCGGGTTGGCCCCAGCGCTCTTGACTCTCGACTAGGACTGTACATCCGAAGTCTGAATGCTCATGGCATTGGGCTATCTCTTCTAGACCTGGTTCTTACACATCTTTCCATATCGCTACACATGTCGTAGGCACCTAGGGTGTGCGCCCTCAATAGACCCTCTTTCAAATTCTCCATATTCATTCCTCATCAAACACTAATTCAATGCCTTCATCCCTTGCGGCCGCTATCGCGGCCTCTCGTCTCTCCTCAAAGTGCATTTTTAATGAAGTAAGAATGTCACGCTGCCCTGCAAAACAACGTCAGAAAACCCCGCAACGACTTTCCCGACGACCCACCTTCTAGGTAATGTTTGAGCATTAATCGTACCGCCGGGCGTATGCTAGCATCGTTCTCGTCCGGGAGATCGGGAAGTAAATCGCACTTCTTCTGAACCATTTCTAACAACAGCTGTGCTGCTTCCAAATCGTCCTCATACCCTATCTCATCCGGGGTTTCAGCCACCAATCGCCTCACTTCGTTCCAGAGTCCTTCCACACCGCTTGCAAGACGACCGATCGCCCACTTGTTAGAAGACCCACCTAACTGTAACGTAATTTTATCATCCGGGTTTTGTGGCAGCGAGAAACCATATCCGAGGATCAGCTCGTCATTCGCTTTGAGCCCATAGTTGTTGAAGACTTCTTCGCCAAGAGGCGTCGTGGTATGTGAGATGATGGAAATAGTGGCCGACTCATCCCTTTCTTTCGTACTTCCTTCTGGATACGACGTGCACCAAGAAACAGGCTGCCCACGAGAATGGTTGAGGATATCCACGCCAGGAAGCATGAACGGATAACTCGAGGAGGTGGTCTGCAGCGTAGGAGATCGAGACAGAAGCGTGGACGGAAATGCGCGGGTTGAAAGATACGTCGATGCTCTTAGATATTTGTCCCTGATCTGGTTTGAGAGGCGTACGCGGAGAAAACAAGCACGGGAGATGCGTACCAAGTGTATCTTTCAGCCCAATCCGAATTAACGGCGTGGATAAAGGTTCGACATGTATTCCACTCAACATTCCAGGTTTCCTGACGATCGCGGGTAGCGCCGTAGATGTTAGTTCCTCGGAAGGCCTCGAGTTCAGATGGCGTGAATTGAAGGGGCGTTAGCAGTGCGTCCGGAGGTGGAAGGCTTTTCAAGTAGGGAAGATGTCGAAGGACATCGGGAATTTGACTGTAATGTATTATGATCATCAGAATAGCACGTAGAGAGACAATATTAGTTCAACGTACCTTGAATCGGGGAAGATCCAGTGTAAACATAAGTAAGTGCAGATGAGTTGCCTTTCCGACCACGACTGCAGGTCAACGAGAGTCGATTCGCCAAACAGCGCTGTCAGAGCACGCAGGGAACACTCCACGTCGATGGCCAGTGAAAATGGACAAGACACAATCGTAGTGTCGGCATCGATAGCGTCTTGCGCGATAGCAGAGAGTCCGAATTTGTCTGGCGGTGAAATTAAATGGCGGAAAGGATACAAAGTGTCTACATGTTAGATCGAGCACCTTGGGACAAAGAGACGGACGGGTGAATAAAACCGCCATAGGTAGTGAGCCATCGTCTGAGCTCGGCGGCAGCGCTGCTGGGCTCCATGGTCGTTAGAGGGATGAATAAGTGATTCGGATCAATGTCGGAGAAGAACCGAACTTGGCGCTAGACTTCACGTGACCGTGATATATGACAAACGGGTTCTTGAACTACTACTACAGTACTAAAAAGAATTGTCCGTTATACATGTTTGTCATATCTTCCTCTCTTCGATCTCTTCGAGACCATGTCAGAATTTTCTTCGAGTGTCTAGACTATCCTCCCCTGCCTGTTGTGGAGAGACATGAAGAAATCTTCCCTGACATATCCGAATCCCTTTTTGGGGTCCCTATTTTGTCGTTTAGCGCTCAGCCTGAACAAAGATACGTTTGAGATGGCGCGTACCGTCTGACATTATATGTATCTTTTTCAGCGTATTTTCGGCGTCACTCGTGCCCAGCTGCGCTTCTGTTGCGTCCATAGAGATGTTCATGGATCTCGGATGCCGCAAGTTTTGTAGTAGCAGGATCTTGGTGTCTAGGAAAGCTTCCTCCGCCTCCAGATTTTGGAGTTGTTCGAGAAGGAGAGGAATACGGTCAACGACTGTAGACGCGAGCTCGCTAAGCGGGATGCAAGAGAGGCTGTTTCTGGGATGCTGCATTGTGAAAGACAGAGCCTGCGGCAACGCTAATCACGGTGGTGAGTAGAGAGACTCGGAAGAGTATTCCAAGAATAACTTTGCGGTGAACAGTGAGGTTGTTGATGAAGACCAAAAGCTGGAACTCCTTATAGCCCGAGGTATGTTCAATTAGAACTACCAGTTTCGATTGATATTTCTTTCAATATGCATTACAGCGGTTCTGAATCTGACGGTCGTGAACGCTCCAAGCTGCATGACAAGATCTAGACATTCGCGTAGAATAACTACATTTCGCTCTCGGTAAATGGTCCGGATAACATTTCGTCGCTTGCCCTCCTCGCTACGTCATCATTAAATCGCGTTCGAATTGCTTCATCTCTAGCCCTACATGCGTCAACCCCTTCGACCACCCGAATTTCTCCTTGTCGTCTAGCTTCCCTTACGAGCTCTGATGTACGCAGTAGCCGAAGATCCTGGTAATTAGTGAACACTCGTAACAATAATTCTGTCGACAGCTGGTCGACAGATGGATTGTGCTTCCCCAGGAGCCGCATAAAATGGTAGATGTCTTCGAAGGCTTGATTAGCACCTTGGCCCAGATGCTAAATACGATTCTATCTATCAGCGCCATGAAAATGGATGGCCACCTTCGTACCGGAGTGGTTGGGTGAGCTGCATCGCCCAAAAGAACAATCCTTCCCTTAAACCACGACTCAAGCTCGGGCCGGTCATAGAGACCATACTTGGAAGACGTCCATTTCAAACACTCGCAAGTATATCACGAGGGAACTTACCCTCACGATCTTCTGGCCGGTCTTTACCAAATCTCCGGCCCCAAACCCCCAAGCAGAGAAAGGCCCTTTTCGGATTTCGTTCTGCTGCTCCGCGTTCTGCATCCTCCAATTCTCCTTGGCCTCAGCTCCTCGAGTTGTGATGCTGACTCCCAGGATAATCAAACTTGGAACAGGTAATTAAGGCGCACTTACGACCATGCATACTCATCTTCCGCAACGGGATACGCAATCATATGACGACCATCCCCGTAGTTGTCTACCCTGGCAAAGCTCCCTTGAAGGACAGGCGGCGTAGGAGACACACCACCGACCTGCAAATCACTTGAATATCAGCCCCCACGCCAGGAACGTCACCGAAATGGGCTCACCCGCACCATTCCCGTGAAGCGTGCCTTCTCTTTCCCAAAGAGCGCAATCCGGGTATTGCTATGCAACCCATCACAACCTATGACAAAGCTCGCTGTGTCCTTGGTACCATTTGCGAACGTGACTTCCACTGCATCTTCACTTTGCTCGAATTCGATGGCTTCGTGGCCCCACTTGATCTCGACGCCATGCTTTTGGGCCGTGTCGATTAAAAGCTGTTGGAACTCTGGGCGCCGCACTCCAATGTTGGGAAAGCCATATCGTTCTCGCATCGTCGCTGGCGAAATATCGCTATCAACGAGGATATCCTCCACTTCATCCAAGCAGGAACAGTGAATCATCCTATCTGGAGAATGGCCGGGTATATGTTTCAGGAGCCCTGGAATGAGTGATAGAACACGCATGCCGTTGGGCTGCAGCCTGTCTCTAGCATTTAGTATTGGGTTGACGAGGAAAAGGAGGAGCGAGGGTGTTTACATGATCGCGATTCCGCCTTCTCCTGGACCAGGAAGTCTCTCATATATGACGGGGTCGTAGCCTTTCATCTTCAAAAAAACTGCAAGCACGGGACCAGCAATTCCAGCACCCACTATTATGACCCTGATGTTCGCCATCTGCGAAGGTGTTTGGCGGTGGCGGCAATGATCAGTAATGTCCCTTTACGTTGGTCACAGCAAAAGAACTAAATAGGTACTTGACAGTTCTTGTCGGACCGGGTCGTAATCAACCGTTTATCATAGTATGCGCAGTGGCGGCCCGTCAATATCACACCACCTTCGGGAGGTCAGATTAAGGGTGCGTTCAATCCAAGGCGTGCAGATGCAGCTTCGCAGCTGCACTTCCAACTCCCCTGTACTCTTCCCTGGTTAGTACAAGTGTTCTGTAGGTTTAGCGTTCAACTTTACTGTGAATGTGCGCCCAGAAGTCCAGCCTGATGTTGGCCTCGTCCTTATGGCCAACAACTCAATCAGGGCGTATCGCATATATTACATAAGGCAGTTATGCGTTGGTACGTTAAAATGCAAGCCATCTGTCATGGTCATCATCGGTATCAACTCTTGGTACGGTCCAAGCTAGTCTCTTTGAATTCCAGTACTACAAGTCTTCCTCGAACTCATAAACCATCGCCATCGATCTCCTCATGCTCATCTCTTACTCATCATTAAAGTCATCATCCCCTGAGCGATGATGTGTCGTCTTCGGAGTCATCATGCGAGTCGTTGAACCCTTTGCCTACTCGCGTCGTTGCTTGGCATCTTCTCGCTCCTCTTCTGCATCTTTAGTGAGTCAGAAGTTGCATGCATTGTGGGATACCGCCCAAGGTTTCGTGCATGTCCATAGCTCCTTCCTCGTACAACTCTTGACTCGGCGCGGCGCCATTTTTGTCGTAACTTCCATTCGATCTATCGAAGTAGCCCCAGCATCTGCATCGCACAACGTCGGATGTGCGCAGTATTGATCCAAGTCCGTGAAAGCACTCGACTCGGACTGGCAGCAGTGATCGTGCGTGGCTATTGATCACCATAGATATCCGTCGTGAAACAGTATTAGTGGGCCATACGCACACGGGAATCGTACAGGTCCGTCCAGTTTGGGAAAATAGCGATACACCTGAAGGGCGCCTACATCCAAGTACATCTTCTCAATCTGAGAAAACACATGTTTTGATGGAGTCACCAAGCTAATCCCCGTATTCGGAATTATACTCATCCTCATCTTCCTCAGAGTCATTTTCAGAGTCCTTGCATGACACAGGCAGCACTGCGCGGCACGTTTTCATGGTTTGGCGGCGATTGATGGAATAGCTGGTCCATGCGCCCTGTGTGGCGGTGGTTGGGCGAAGCAAGGGTCTAAAGCGATGTTCAAAGAACCTCGTCCTCTAGATATGACTGTCGATGTGAACTCACGAAGTGTCATGTAAGCGATGTCGTCTGTGGCATATATACGTAGTGCATTGAGGAGTGCCAGCAGTGAGACCTCCACGAATACGCGAGTATGTCGATATTGAGGCCTGCCCAAACCGATACCTGTTGAAGAAGTGGCCTTTGCTGATTCCTGGTTCAAGTTTCGTGACTGATTTTGGTATTCGGTTGATTCCGTCGCACGACAGGGTCCAGGCTACGTTCGGAACCTTCTAGCAATTGCCAATGGTCGAGCAAATACTTTTCTTCTGTGTTCAGCTTTCACTGTCCATTAATAGGCAGCTTAGATCCTCACAAGAGTGACAAGAGTTGGCCCCAGATATTTGATACTCCGGTCGCGACCTGAAGCAGAATCCGAGATGGCTCCGTCTGAAGCGATTACCAATATAAATGACGACCAGCAGATGCCAAGTGCTACTCCACTTCTCATCGCGCCTCCAGAAAACGATGATGCGAAACAAGTCACCTTGGGGTCCTCTGAGACTATCAAACTCGATGCTTTAGGTCCGATGGTAGTGAATAGTGATGGGGTAAGCCAGCCATTTTGACGCTCGGACAAATAATCGTCTCATTATAACTTCAAGACCTTATCGAGGATTGCAAACTGGGAGAATATGACAAAGGAGGAGAAAGAAAGGACCATACGTGTCGTTGCAGCTCGGAACAGGTGTGTTCAATTGTGCCGGAAGCGGCGAGCCGTGGTTGCGGGCGCTTGAGCTGCTAACCCCGCTTTCTTCCCCCGATTGAATAGAGCTCGGCTTGCGAAGCAAGCTGACCAGATCCAATGAAACACACCGCATTCACTCGAAGACATTTTCTGGGGTTGCGCATCAATATGTTTACTAGTAGAACGGTTGCAACTAAATGCCAACAAATTTTGGTTCCAAAAATCAGCTCTGAAACTTTTTCCTCCATCGCCAATCAACTTTAACGTCATGTTCATGGCAGTAACTATGCTTGAACGGAAAAGTGGTACGTATGCGTATCGTCATGCGTAACTCATGCCTTCTCGGTAAGCCAATCACCATGCCTTGATAATCCGAGGATTCAGTTTGTTTGTCGGAATGCCGCTCGGTAGGTACCATCAACTAGCTAACTTAGAGCTCCAGCTCACTCACGCTCTGTGTTATCGTAGATTTACCAGGTGCTGGATGCTCATATCTTGCTGCCATCTGACAGTTGCCCAGATCCAACATTTCTAAGAATATCTCACAAGATAACAGCTGACCCTATATCACGGCACACCAACACTTCGCCAACAAGTTGAGGGGTTAGCAGCTTTTCCCATTCAACATTTATCATGTCCAGCGAGCCGTCATATTCTGAGTTCAAGCCACTCCTCGGTATGTCTAGGTTTTGAATGCTTCCATCGCTCACAAACTTCTGCATGAAGCCCAGAGCGTTGGTTATGGCGTTGTTGTTGGTATGATGTCTAACAAGCTTGAAAATTTTTGACTGACTATTTTCAGGTGTGGGGTTCTTCTTCGCAGGCGTCATGTTCATCTTGACCACACTGCAACGCAAATTTTTCAAATTTTCTCCTGCTTCTTCGGAAGAATTCACGGTATGATATGGTTCAATACTATAATTGTTCTAATTTCTAAACTATCACAAGAGTGCTTCCCGGAGTGTTAAGGTACAGTTCGTATTTTAAAACACCTGAACGCCACCTCACGATCAATGGAAGCCTGGCCTAATATGCTGTGGAATGTGCGTACTACTACTCGTTTGGGTTTCCCAAGTGTTGTTGGACTAAACGTGCGTGTAGCGTAAGCGCGTGGACATGGAGCGCTACGCTTTTGCAATCGAGCACTGTTGCATATACATTCGGTAAGGACTTCTTTTATATCCGTTACGGGATGCGCGTTGATCGCAGTTGAAAGGCGTTAGCGGTCCTTGGTGTGTATCTTTAGGACTTGCGGTTACCTCGTTAGCTCACACTTTCGACCCTGTGTAGGTGGTATGGTGTCGGTGGCACCATTCAGGTTGCTATGTTTGGCATGGTTGCCTCCAAGGTGAAGCAGAACGCCAACGGTGCCCATACATTCCTTGAGGTATGAATAATCAATTCGGAAGGTATTCTGACTTGTTCATTGGCATTTAGATTGTCAAGACCCGATTTGGGACAAGTGCCCACATTCTCTTTACATTTTATGGATTTCTGTGTATCTTATTGGTCTGCGGGTCTCTGCTACGTATGTCCTAATCTTTGTTCTCAATTGTCAGTTTCACTCATGACTGAGATAGTTGGAGGCTCTGCAACTGTTAACGCCTTGACCGGCATGAACACCACCGCGGCATGCTTTCTTCTCCCTATTGGTATTGCTCTCTATGTCATCTTTGGTGGTCTGCGCGCGACATTTATCTGCGACTGGAGTCATACCATTATCTTGTTCATTATCATCTACATATTCACATTCCGAGCATAGTGAGTGTTTTCTCCTGCGTGGGGCTAGTCGATCATGGAATATCTTGATAGCGGAACATCACCTGCCATTGGCAGTGTCTCCAGACTCTATGATCTCTTAGAACAGGCTAGCATCATCACTCCAGTGGTAGGTAATCAAGGGGGCAGCTACTTGACCATGAAATCCGATCAAGGCCTTGTGTTTGGTGCTATCACAATCCTTTCTGGTTTTACCGGAGTCTTCTGCGATCAAGGTCTGGCTCTAATACATGCATTATCTAGTCTACATTTTTCTTATGGAATATTTTGCATAGGTTACTGGCAAAGGGTGAGCCTTACGCTTTGCAACATGCTCCTGGCTGAGCAAGTTAGGCAATCGCAAGTCATCCAGAATCGACCACCAAGGCATACGTCAGTTTCGCGTTCGTGGGCTCTGAAACAAGCTGACAGCTCGACAGATGCTTGGTGGTATTTCTTGGTTTGCTGTTCCATGGGCATTTGCATCTTGTCTCGGTCTGAGTGCTCGCGCTCTTATTACTAATGCAAGTCCAGTTCCAGTACATCCCAAAGATAACAGCTCACCGATATTTGTAGCCAAACTTTCCCACCTATCCTTCTCCGCTTTCTCCAAGTCAGATTAGCGCGGGTCTTGCAGCTCCTGCTGCAGCTGCTGTGCTCATGGGCAAAGGTGGCGCGATCACCGTGCTCCTTGTAGTATTGTACGTATACATCATGGTGGGAAGATACAATGTTCTGACAAGATATCAGTATGGCCGTGACTTCAGCCGCGAGTGCTGAGCTCATCGGCGTATCCAGTCTATTGTGAGTTGCCACATCATCCTTCCAAACGCAATCACCTGACTATACTCAATCAGTTCGTATGAGTAGGTAACACATAGCATGGATATTATTATGGGGAATGACCCCGTACATTAGCATATACCGGACCTATTTCCGTCCCAACGCCACTGGCGATGAGATAGTGAGGGTATCTCACTGCTTCATATGTTTCTGGGCAGTCTGGATGGGCTGTTGGGCAACTATTGTAAGTGTCATTCATCCCACCGTTTGTCTACCGCATGAGCTCAAACTCGATAGCTGAATGCTGTTCACATCGACCTTGGATGGGTGAGTTAGATCGTTCCCTATGCTGATGGCCTCTACTGATGAGCTCGTGGGAAAGTTATATTATGTCCAGTAAGGTTTTTGATTGTTGCGAGATGAAGTGAAGTACTGAGACTATCTGGAATACAGAGGCTGTATACTCAGCCCTGCAGTTATTCCCATTGGACTTACCGTTTCGTGGTCTAAGCTTACGAAAGCAGGCGTTTTCTGTGGTGCTATAGGCGGTGCATGTTTCGGAATGTTGGCTTGGATGATTGGATGCTGGAAGATATACGGTCTGATCTTTCAAAATACCGCCTATCTTATGCTGATCAATTTCAGGCCAAATCAACATCAGTAACCTTGCGCAACCGTACTCCGCCCTATGCAGTAGTCTCGCGGGACTATTTTTCTCTGGAATTTTGACAGTGGGGGTGTCGCTCTTGAGTTCGTCCTTGCTGCCTTGTAGTATCTAATGTTGATTGTTTTCTACAGACCCTGCTGACTATGACTTCTCGGGCACCCGAGCAATCGCCACCTTAGAAGACACAATCGGGAGCGACATTTCAGGCGTTGACACTTCATACAGAGCATCAGATACCGAATCGCAAAATGAGAAAAGGGATGAAAAGCGGTCATCGTTGAAACAACCTGTTTCCAACATCATGGAGGTTGGGTTGGAGAACGATGATGAACAACGTCTCAGATCTCTTAAGACGGTATTCAGAAAGGCGTTTATATATTCGTCGATTTTGACATTGATTGTCGTCATACTTGGTCAGTGTTGCAGCGCTATTCTATTTGCTACACAACTGATAGAGAATTAGTCCCACTGCCACTATTCTTCTCTCATTATGTCTTCAGCAAGAAGTTTTACACCTTCTGGACAGCCTGCTCGATGTGAGTTCTCGACGTCAACATGCGGTTCGATGGAGTACTCACCGAGTTTCTTTCGACAGCATATGGGCTTTCGCGAGTGGGTCATTTTGCATCGTCTTCCCCTTGTGGGAGTCCAGAAATGAGATCGGTATGATACTGGGTTCAGCTTATAGGTCAATCCGCAAATAGAGTTCGCTTTGGACCCCAAGTTGTTTCATGTATATCTTTCCTGTTAGCATAAAGTCGCAATTGTGTATCCCAGATCGGTAACGCCTTAACTGAAGACAAAAGCTGGAATCTTGATTCAAACATGATTGCAACTATACCACCTAATTGTTTTTGTATGCCGGCAAATGGTATCTCATGGGAAGCCCTCGTTATTGTCTTTGTTGTGCGAGCCCGAACGGTCTTTACCAAATCTGGTTACTAATCGCATTGGGTTGGCAGCGTGAGCCCATCATCACGACCACCTTCGTGTTCCACCTTTTTGTTAACACAAACTTGGCCCATGGATGCTTTACCAATGCCGCACCACTAGGAATCTATTTATTCGCGAATATCGGAATGGGGTGAATTCTAGGTGTCGTTCATCCGCCCACTTACAGGCCTACCAATTTCTCTCGGAATCTCCACACTACAATACTCTCGGCTCATCACTAGGTGTTTCATCGATTCCTCGGCAAAATGTGGCATACGGGCAATACTGCATCGTTCTCTCATCCTTCCAAACAGCCAGTCGAGCTGCACCTGCACAACTTGCCATCAGATACCGTTTTAACATGTGCTAGCGCATCTAGTTCATCGCAGGCAACCTACACCGAACGACTCACACCTCCTCCTCAAGCGCACTATTCATCTGTGCAGCTCCAGGATGACATGTTTGGACAATTCTTCGGAGCCAAGCCACAACGACCGAGAGCCCTCGAACGGCGTGTCCCTCCACCCTACTTGCGTGACGGGGAGTTTGAGAAAGTGTCCACGTACACTGCTTATCCGTGTCCGGATGCAGACACCAAGCCCAAAACACTCACTCGACATCTGTTTTTCTATGGTTTCTGTATGTTCGTTTACAACATGTATCACAAGATATGAAACTGACAATTCCCTTCAGTCTTTCCAATATTTTGGATAATTGGAAGCGCTATAATATTCTCCCCACCTCGGCCCAGTTCTGAATGGGAGACTGGAAGGTCGGAAGAGGAGAAACGGAGGTTACTTGCAGAGATGCGAGTTTCGGAACTCAAATGGGCGAAGCGTTGTTTATATGCCATGGTCGTACTTTTGGTTCTCATTATTGTGTTGGTGACCACCTTTGTTTTGGTAAAACGGTGAAGAACGCTGCTCTGCTCTAGCTTCTTCCATATAGCGCTGCTATTGTTGTATTATGCGTCTGGTCGACCGGACCTTCATCTTTTCGTTTATCAGCAAGTACTATAGTTGGCTTTTTCTTTTGTGTATCAGCAACTCTGCCGTACCACTTTCAATCCCTATGTTTATATAGATAGACAACATACTTTATTGTACTACCATATCTGTCTCTGTACTGAATCTCCTTCGGGTATCCGAATGATTACCTCGTGCGCAAGGGTTTGTTACATAATAGCTGCCAGCGCGTGTGACACAAAGGACTAAATGAGCCTCGTCAGTAACACTGGCGCATGCCCAGTAACTATCTCGGTTTATCAATTCGCAGCTCAATATCTCTCAGCAATATCCATGGTAAACTGTGAGAGGCCCTACATTTCATCAAATTGACTGGTGTTAGTGCTTATTGGCGTGATAGTTGCGGAGCTCAAGCAGAAGGCAGGGAAGGCCAAAGATGCGAGTGTCACAATGATGGTGAACACAAGGGACAAATATTCCAGTGTCCCCTCTTCAAAAACGAATTGGGATCCTAACTGGAAGCGTGCACCTCCACCTGCTCCAGCAGGATCGTCGGGTAATGGGTCCCCACCGCCTCCGCTGCGATCACGTCCAGATGCTTCTGGAAGTACGAGAAGCTCTGTTGTTTCACCTCCTCCTCCCTCGGCTCACGGCTCACGGTCCGGTGCTCCTTCCTCACCATCGTATAGCCATATTTCTCCTCCACCCGCACGCGCTACGAGTTCTTACCGATCACAGATGGCGGGATCAGCAGATCCAGTGAATCACATAGATTGGGCGAATTTGTCACAGGAAGACAAGGATGAATTTTTTAGTTGGCTGGACGAATTTTTCTCTAGATATCTCGATATCACTCTGCCTTCCGGGCGTTCATCTGCAGGAATGAAAGGAAGCACTGCGGTCACAGTACAGTCAGCTGGACCTCCGGTGTGTATCAGTATGATGACATATTTCATGCCAGCTGACTGAGATAATTCTGCCGCACAGCCGGTCAATCTCAATTCACGACCGTCCTGGTGAATGACCACCTTTATTTGGTACTGCGCCTCCGAACTGTTTGTGAACCGCTTCCATGGAATCTTGGCCTGACTACTACAAGCGCTCATAATAGTCCGCATTTATGGAGCTCGAAAGATTAATGCATAGTTAATGAATGACTGCGAAGATATCCAACATCTGTGAGGCTACAACATCTCAATCGACATACAAATACAAGAGGGATTTGGGATATAGATATTCCGATGTGGAATGACATTCGGACGTCAGCTAGGTACACCATGCACCCATGTCCAACATGAGACAGCACTCGTCTAGATTTACCGTGACGGTCGTACGCAGTCGGGATGACGTGTTCGGTACAAGTTTTGTACCCGGCGGTCTTCCGTCACCACCTACGAAACAGTAAATTCCAGCAGATAGGGGAATGCGAGGACTCGTACCGAGAGACACCCGCAATTTCGTGCTGTCTTGTGCATGTGAGACGCACTCGTCTTACACCGTAAGGAGGCGCAGTCGGAGGTTACTCCGGTAAAATATCTTCCATGAAAGTGCTGCAGTGAGGAGTGCCACAACATCGCTATTGTGTTAGTGCCTAGTTGGCTTCTACTCGAGAATGAAACCTACTCCACACCCTGTCCAATAGTCACCGACACTGTGATACAATGCAAGTGTGAAGGGTGACTGTACGACCTTGGAACCAATGCTTACATCTCGTGAAGACACATCAAATCTTGTCGAGGGCGGTAGCGCTAGTAGTGGTGGCGCAGAAGGATGGCTGGCAATGGATCCGAACCGTACCGACGAAGACAAGGTTGCTTCGGAGAGATGGAATGGCTGAGACCAGTTGGTTTTAGGAGGCTATTATATATCACCTCGCTAAGCGAAATTGTGGCCTGTGGTACATATGCATCCATGATGATGGTATCCCACATGTAATATGATAACATACGAAATAAAGAGTGTTGAGGTTAGAAATCCAGTACACGAATTCTCGAGACATCCCGCGGTCAATATCAAGTTGCCCCAGATGCGTCATTCCGCGCCGAGCCGGTTCCATTCGGATCACAGCAATCTTATCTCGTCGCGAGGAACGCCGATAACAAAATCAGATCGACATATTCAAAAAAACTTTACTGAATTTTGAGGAGACAGATAATGGGTGCACATGCGTGACGGACAAGCCGTCGTGAAGAAGTCAACACAAGGCTTGCTGGCAACAAGTGGCAGGATTATGTACATAATAAGTATGTACAAGTCTGACTCTAATATTTGCGAAAGTTCCCTAGTCAATCAAGATCAATGCATCCGTACTACGTAGCATCACCGCGTGAGCGACTGACCGCGGAAATAGGTATTTTGTCATGAGTATGCATCACCTACTTGAAACTTCTCCATTCTATGGTTTTCAGAAGACCCAGGGTCACATTCGTCCAAAGGAACAAGATCGTGTGTGCAAAGGGGTGTAGTATGACGTTCTACCCAGTCACGGAACGATCGAGAGACGGGATAACGTTCGAATAAACACAAAGGTATTCTGACGTAGTACCATTGCAATTACTTATATTTTCAGCCACGAAAGCCTGACCCGAATGACCCAAACTATGGGAACATCCTGAAGGGTGCTAGTGACTAAAGTAACCGTTTGTTGAGTTGAATAAAGTTCATCAGATTATACAGGGTCGAGCGCGGTGACGCAATGTGGGTGGCTTTGGCGAGCTGTTAATGAATCAACGATTGACCCGCTTGAGTAACTGCACTTAAGTTGGACTGTCACTTACGTTTGTCATCATCAATCCCGTAGTCACGAAATGAAGACCATTTCAGGTTGTAAAAGTAGGGACCAGGGGTGACTGTTTATCACATGAATATGTAAACAGCCCATCATGAACTGATGTCCGATGCCCATGCAGCTAGCTCAGACCTTGCTAGGCATGACAAAAAAAGTAGATCCGTGTATAAAGGGCAATGACGTTGGTGGGCTTGATCCACTGTAAATGGACTAATGTGTAGCTTTGCGTAGAGCATAGACTGATTGCGACTGGAGTGGACGAGAACTGCCGATCAGCATAAACACAATCACGACATGTGATTCGTTTGTGTGTTTCAGGTTGGTAGGAGTCGGACCACGGACTCTGTCTGTGCAGTCACCGCAGTGTGATCATGAGTAACTTGGAGTCAGTTATGTACACACTTAGTACTTACCACTAGTTAGTCCGTTAAGCGGTTTAACCGAATCGAAAGACATGAAGAATTATGGGCCTGGCAGGGATTCATGGAGGCTTCGTGAGTGAATGCACTTGATCATTAATAAAAATTGTCGATCGATTGGATTGGTCACGGTGAGCAAGTGCAAGTAACCTCGCCTTAATATTCGGTTCGGCGCTTTCCGCTTGCAGTGGCACAGCCTCAACCCGGGATCAACGTACGTAGAGCCTACATGTTTGAAGCATATAAAACATACATGTTGCATGATTCTGAATTTACGAAAGAGTATACGACTTAATTAGTGAGATACCTAGGGTGCTGCCATACGGTATTGCCGCGATAATATTTGTCTCATAAGTAATTTATTTTAAGCATCACTCACGTGACCTCAGCGGCGCTCTCAAGCGCTTGCATGTCAAGCGCTGTGCCAACTTGCCAAGTTCATGCGCCACGGGAACTCGTCACTTCTGATTTTCTGAGGATCTTACGGTCTGACAGTGACCCACGCTGAAAGTCTGAAACACTCGTTCCGTTAACCACGAAATGGTTCCCTTGACTACCATAGGACTGTGACGAGCCAAGTTTTGATATTTCTGCTCCGTGGTGAAAATACTAGTGTGGATTAATCGATTGGATTCCGAGTTAGAATCAGAAGTTGGTGCACAGTCGGCGTTGTGAGTTAATTCCCGAAACTACTATAATAACTTCTAGCTTATCAAGTCTCAGACCCCAGCTTGGGGGTAACCTTTGCCTTGTCTATGCAGAATGACAATGTATCAGTTTTCGCACTAGGGCCGTTTCATACAGGCATTCACATTAATGACGACCGCACGGTGGTATCACAATCGTGCGTCACGTGGTAGACTGCGATAAGCCGTACATCGAATAGTCGTGCAGATCTTAGGTTGAGAACTAACCTTATGTGAGTTGACCTCGTCGATCACCATCCAGGGCGGAATACCTCGCTGACAAAATTCAAGATCATCCTAACGTGTGTGCCATAATTGAATTGCAACGTTGCCCGTGCAGTTAGTGATTATGATGGAAACTTGGATGTTGATGACATCAGTCACGTTTCTATACCCCGTGGGTCGTGAGTTCCCCGTCAGCGTTTTTTTATACCTCGTTTGACGCCTTAAAGGCCTCATTGTCCGTGGCCGCAACCAGTTGCCAGATACGTTCCTTCCCACATCACATCGGGTGCCGCATCCCACTCAGAAGTTGAGCTTCTGTGATAGTGTCGTCGATGTACACTTGCTACAATGTCATCAAACTGATCAACATCGAAAAATCCAGTCTAATTGGCCCCAACTTCAGTGCCAGTGGTCACTGAGTTTGCTGTTGCCCTTGGCTCTGCACTTGCTGTCCGTGTCTCATGAAGCTCAAACGACGTTTCTGACATCCTCACAGACTGCCATACTGGTCGAGATAATTTCATCCTACGGAATTTCATGATATGATCCAGTTAGTCAGTTATCTTATTATCCTATCTCGATGCACTCCTCACGCCATCCGTGGCACACGTTCTGCCTACCTCGTGTTTGTTGCCTCGATTCTTCACTCATGAAACGTGGTGATCATTCTCTGTTATGGCTTCGAGCTGGGCAAGGGGAAACGCATAGAGTGGTCATGTTTCCCTTCGGTTTGGTACTGCTGCCGAGCGCTAAGAAGTTCCAGGAACCGATTATCACACTGCCAGACTTTCATGCGTCATGTTTGGATGGCTTCCGATATGCTCTAACACAGATTAACATAGATTCAAGTTATCGCTGTAGATCTTCAGCAACCAATCGATGGCATCGAGGAAACCTAACTCTGCAGCTTCAGCAGAGAATAGATATCGATATTGGGTCCGAGCGCTACTTATCCGTATTCATAAGGCGAGTCTCTGTGCAATCACAATCACCGTGGTGGTCCAAACGAGCTAGAATCATGCATCGACACAACAGTTTCAACAACAACGTATCTCGTTCGCCCTCCCTTACCCAACGTAAACTCGCGGCTGAATTTCGATCTTCATCTCCGCTCGTTGGGGGATCGCCCGTGAGCACTACTGAGACCCATCAGACGGTGATCACGAAGAATTCATGGCTCGATGCTGCTCGTGAAAGCACCAACAAATTCAAACTGAATGGTTCACCACTCCCTCTCGTTTGGGTGAGGAGCATGGTGATCGATCTTTATTGAATCTCACTTACAATTATACAAGGTTTTGGTTGAAGACAACGTCATCCCGCCGAATGCTGTTCCCTTTGGCGAAGACAAGAACGGTTCTCAGCTGTACATTGCTCGTGCCCTGCTCGAGGTAGGTTGTTTTTCTCAGGGGTATCACAACACTGACCGTGCCATATCTTTCAGGGTGGGCTCTGTAAGTATATTCTGCCAGTCATCAAGAGACAGCGCTAACCTGATTTTAGACCTCGGAAGGGTAGGTACTCACCTTCAGCATGCCCTCATTAGTTACGGCGGAAGGGAGCACCACGTACGTCTACCAAATCGAGCGCTACATCTCTTCATGAAATTGAGATTTGCGTGTTTCCAGATCCAAAAGTACGAAGTACTCGTGTGTGCTTCTCAAGTTCGCTGGGGCCTGGCCTCCTACGACACAGCAGGATCTTTGAGTCAGGGCACAGTCGTACTTGCACAACAAAACCAGCAGCTGCAATCTCAACGCGGGTCGACAGCATGGTCTACTCAAGCTGGCGGCTTCTCCCAGCATGGGGGATCGCCTGGTGGTTTTGTTGCACCATCTGGATCGCCTGCTGGTTACGCTCCACCATTTGGATCACCCGCTGGTTACGCTCCACCATCTGGATCACCCGCTGGTTATGCTGCACCATTTGGATCACCCGCTGGTTATGCTGCGCCATCCGGATCACCCGCTAGTTACGCTGCACCATCTGGATCACCCGCTGGTTACGCCGCACATACTGGATATTCTAATGTCCGGGAGGTGTCCAGTGTCCGAGAGACTAGAAGTGCATACAGCTCTCGAGAGAATTCGAGCCTCGTTATTGAGACCACGCTGCGTGTCGACGATATTCCAAGGTTCATCCCCAATCTTGAGGACCTCAAGCTGAGGAAGCTTGCGTATGGATTCTTTTCAACCACCTTGTTACATACCTGACGATTCTTAATAGCGACTACAAAACTGTGGTTCTGATCGATGATTCCATTTCTGTTGGTGTTACTTTCCTTGTAACATGACTTAGATGTTCTGATCTACCTCATTTAGATGGCCGAAGAACAATCTTGGACCCTTGTCCGTGGAGCTCTGGCGGGAATAGCTGATCTTGCGAATCAGTATGGCTCTCAAGGAATTGATTTGCACTTCTTGCACCAGGAGCATTACCATCAAAACATCAAGGTCTGTCTTGCAGCGCACAGCTTGTAGGAATTACTGTGATTGACTGGCTCTTTAGACGAGCCACGAGGTTCAACAAATTTTCGATCAAATGGCCCCTAACGGTTAGTTCCATCCTTGACGATACGTTGAGCCGAAGGTGACATCGAGATACAGGTCCAGAAACGCCAACTGCTGCGAAACTGGAGGAGCTTATCAACACCTACCTCCCCCTCGTGGAACGCAAATTCCCTCGACACAACCCTATCGATATTATCGTCATTACTGATGGTGTCGCAAGTAAGTTATGCCTCACGCGCCTCGGCTTGTTGTGTTGATAATTCTATGTGAATTAGCTGATCAGCAGGCCCTCCCTGAGGTTATCGTCAGTGCAGCTCAGCGCCTGGAAAGAAGCCAAGTTCCAGAGGGAATGTTTGGCATCCAGTTTGTACAGATTGGCACAGACGCGGAGGCTGCTTTGGCATTGCGCGCTCTAGACGACCACCTCGAGCAGCAGTACAAAGTCAGAGTATGTTTTGTATTCCTTTCTAATTAGTTCAACTGGACTAATATTCCTTGTTGACAGGATATCGTGGATACCACACCTTACGATCCTCAACAGGGCGCGTTCAATACCGATTACATGCTGAAGATCCTGCTTGGTGGTGTGAATAAGGTTCTTGACAATGGAGGTCCTGTGCCGAGCGAGTTGCTCTCTATTCCAGTCCCATACGGGCCGAGGTAATCGATCCGTCTCGGACTCTCAGCATTGAATTTCCCGAAATGTCTGTGTCGTATGCTGGCGAAAATATGTTTTCCATCAAGTCGTTACTGTACAATAAATGTTTCGCAACGCATGATATACATAAGTTGTCTGGCTCGTATGTTCCGCTGTCAGGAAATTCCAGCCCATCCGGCCCGTACAACCCACTGCCCAGACCCCAAAAAATTCAAGGAGCGTCAAGCAAGTTCCCACCATGAATTGCTCTTTGCCTTCATCGATCGCATCATCCATCATGTTCGAGCCATCCACTGGGGCCACTACACCTACAAGTTGTTGTCTGCCATGCGGTGAGGGTACTGAAACCTTGCGCCGTAGGCCGTGGCAAATTCCGCGAGAAGACAGGTACTTGCCCTATTGCATTGAAGTGAAGGCTGTTGGATCCTTCCGGAAAGTGAATCAACAACTTGAAGTCTGATCTCATCAATGTTCCTTGCATATATATGCAATCAAGCCAGCCTCCTGAAATTCAAATTCTCCTACGAACTCGTTATCGATTCATTCACGAAGACCTTGGTCGGTGGGCATGCTTCGTGTTTCAAGAGAGATCTCCACTTTATTGGCCTCTGATCAACCTCGTTGAGCTATGGTAAGCAGCGTTATCCATCTGCTTCCGAAATGAGGCAACGTGCTAGGTCGCGCGGTACAGATTTCTGTGATGATTGGACCGGCATTTCCCAACTGACAAGCCAGCCTTCCGGGATAGGTGAAAGTTTCAACAAACTTCTGGTGCATCGTACAGTGTCACACTGCGCCTTGTGTTGATTGAACTATTATTGTGCTTGTACTCCTTCAAGAATCATAGAATTTTCTGTCAAACTCTATGATGCACCTGATATCGATGGATTGGGCGCCAATGCATGATGCCTGAAATTCATGCTATAAAGTGGTTTCCAGACAATCCCCCAGGAATCTACCTTCAGCTTAACAAACCAATACTTCACGATGCGCAGCTCCACTCCGACTCAATTCCAGTCGACGAGGACGTCGATGTCGAGTAGCACACACTCTAATCCCGCCGCTTTTGGCACTTTGATGCCAGAAACTCGTCCGGCACCGTATCAGCAACGTCCATCATACCTAGCCCCACGGCCACTGGCATCACAGTATGAGACCTCTCAGTACACCATGACGAAGCCAGCATACGAATATGGACGCCCTCCCGCCACAAGTTCATATCCGCCCCCAATGCCAGCATTCAACAATGATTCAACAATCACCACCACTACCACCACAATTACCACCAGGCACAAGAACAGCTGGCTTGATGAAGCTAGGGAAAGCACCGCTAACTTTAAGAAGAACGGCTCACCTGTACCACTCATATGGGTAAGAGTGATATCCATTGAGGTCATAATGGTTGCTAAAAATCTGAAAGATCTTGATCGAAGATAAATCCATCCCTCCGAACGCTGTCCCATTTGGCGAAGACCGCAATGGACAGACGTTCTTCATTGCACGTGCTCATTTGGAGGTAAGGTTTATTGTCAAGGAATCCCGGCCAAAGACGCTCACGTTCGGCTGACAGGGAGGTCTCCGTAAGTGCTATTAACATGTAGTGCGGACACTCCACATGATCAACTGTTCAGACATTGGAAAGGTTGGCTATCACACCTCAGGTGCTCTGATCAGCTACGTCGGCAAGGAGCACTTGGTATGTGTTCTTATTATTGTCGCACTTTTCTATTTTCGTTTTGACGGACTTCGTGCGATACCAGATTGAAAAATACGAGGTTCTAGTATGCGCATCTCAGCTTCGCTGGGGCCTAGCATCTCAGGATGCGACGGGAAGCTTAGCTCAGGGCACCGTCGTCCTCGCTCGTCAGCAACAGGGGAGACAAGAGCTCAAGCGCACTGCAAGCAATTTGTGGTCGCGCGAGACTCGGGAGACTCGGGAGTCCACCGTGACATCGGTTGTTCAGACTGCCCTCCAGGTAGATGACATTCCTCGTTTTGCTCCCTCTCTTCTGATACAAGAGGAAGAATTGCGACGCGTGGCGTGCGTGTTCACTGTTCACTGCTCTTTGTTAACCAAATTCTAATCATCTTTGTGATAGTGAGTACAAGACGGTCATCCTGATCGATGATTCCATCTCCGTAAGGATGGCATCCTCAATATGTTGATCCATGACCGCTAATGTACTTTGTACCTAGATGGCCGAAGCTGATCTCTGGAGCCAAATGCGAGAGGCTCTAGCTGGCATCGTCGACCTTGCCATACAGTATGGATCCAAAGGGATTGATTTACACTTCATGCACCAAACTCAGTTTGCCGAAAATATGAGGGTATGGGAGTCCGTTCGCTGGTCCTATGCTTTTTTAGCCTAACGGTCTCGACCAGTCTCGATCTGAAGTCCAGAAACTTTTCGACCAGCTCAGTCCCACTGGTATGTATATCGCATTTATCGGACTTTATCAGTGAATCATGCCCTTTATTCAGGTGAGGACACACCAACGGGAGTGAGACTCGAGCAGATCATCGAGATGTATCTGCCACTCATCGAGCACCCGAGCTCGACTCATGAACCTATTTCTATCATTGTCATTACCGATGGAGCTGCTAGTAAGGTAGTACTTCCATACCGTGTTCACATATCTAACGTACACGGACATCACTATAGCCGACGGTGATGACTTATTGCGATGCATCATCGAGGCTGCCAGTCGCCTTGACAGGCAGCAGGTTCCTCTCGATAAGTTCGGTATCCAATTCGTCCAGATCGGCACAGATGAAGATGCTGCAAGGGCGCTCCATATGTTAGACGACGAGCTTTCTGAACGTTACAAAATTCGGGTGCGTCTCGTTCATGGTTTCTCGTACGCTTTTACTCATGATTCTTCAGGACATCGTCGACACCACTCCCTTCGACCATGCTCATGGCGCGTTCAACACGGACTACATGGTCAAGATCTTCATTGGAAGTCTGCACCAAGGTACTAACAATGGGACCCCTGAATTGCCCTTGCCGGAGAGGAAGCCCCAAATTATGCCGATGCCTGGCTATGACAGGCATCCATCTCCCGCCCCCAGATCTGCCTCTCCCCATTTACCTGCTAGCGGCCTACGCGCCCGAGGGTTTTGAGGGGATCGGATAAACATGCTACGCTTTACGATAGATTCAAAGTCACAATTCCATTCACGCTGTGTACATCTTCTCGATAGGCTACGGTTTTGATCGGTTATCTGTTAAAGAGTTCATTGGTTGAAATTGAAGTGTTGTCTCGTGTCAGTGAAATGTCAGGGCGGTACTCAACTACTGGGCATGTGTTGTAGGATGTAGAAATATTTACAACGAAGGCTCTGGTTGTATATGGGTATTCCAGTAAGTATATCGATGGGAGATGGGGTGCAAAGTCAGAAACGCATACATGCACATGGTGGGACGGGCACGGACTGCAAGGAGAGCCCAGGTCGAACCCCTAGAAGTAGGAGGCTAGGACCTGCGCTAGAGCACCCTGGTACAATGGGATGTTGCTGCAAATGCTAGAGCGAAGCTGGCCTCAACGACCTATCTCGTTTTATTTGTGTTACAGGCTAATCACTGAATTTGTCCTCCCAGGATGATAAGTGTACAATTGTTGCTCGACATATGCGATGTATGTATACACATTTCTGAAGCTTTCTCATTTTGATCGAACATATTTTGTAGACTGATGCTACACGAATCACAGTTGGTGCTGTCGAAATGCCCTGCTTCAGATAATTTGTCTTGACATTCCATTCTTGTTGATGTGCTTCTGTCATTGCAATGCCCAAAGACTTCGATTGATATATCAGTTAAGCCTGAGCGGGACAGTTAAGTCAAAAGTCCGAGTCGACGGTAAGAGGACTCCAGCGGCGCTGCGGGAATGGGCCGGCCAGGGGGGGGGGGGGCGGCTGAGCAATTTGACATACGCGATCGTCTCAGGTTTTAGCGTGGCGAAGGCAGGAAGAAGAAAGAGACAAACATAGAGAGAGGCTTTCCCAGGGTTTGGGCAGGGACAAGGACAAATCCGTCAACAAAAGATTGACCTGTGACTGACCATGTACGTGCCGAGGGGATGTAGACTCCAACCCTGAGCTGCAGGGACGTGGGACGAGGCACGCCGCTCAAGCGCGAGCAGGCGGAGCCGCGGGGAGAGATGTTTTCAATGTGCCGAGGGGGCCAGAAGGTCTAGATTTCGCCAGTAACGAAGAAAGGCATCGGATGACTGGTGCTCTAGAGCTTTGACGACATTTGGAGGAACCTCGGATAGAAGCATCCGTCAAGTCGTGCCTCCTTGTACCTCGGGGTTGGAGTCTTACGAGTCCTCCCCTTGGCACGTACCTTGGTCACAGGTCAATCCTTCTGTTGACGGATGTGTCCGCCGCTGTCGGCTGTGTACGGTCCTGGAAGAACTGGCAGACGAAGAATTTCTCCTCATGTCCTATAATCAATTTCACCATACACAAATAGTCAGTGCGTTTACCAGAACCAGTCAGCGCCGATGAACAGAAGGCCCTTCACATTGAGGATGGCAGGTTTTTAGATCATAGGGTCGCTACAAGCGGGTAAGCGGGCGGTGATGTCGCTGATTTGCAAGGAGAATCAAGAGGCTTCAGAATTGTAGCTGGAGTAGTGGAAATCAGGAGCACAGGTCAGGAGCGCAGAAATCAAGTATAGTGTTTTGCAACCAACTTTATGCTCTCGTCCGTCACGGTTGCACTCCTTTGTGTGGTTGACTCGTCGTGTTTCTAATACTCAGGGGAGTGGACACGCAGCTAGCAGCTAGAATCAGGAGAAAACGAGGATCAAAATCAAATTGCAAGTGATGGTATATGTACTCTATGAATTGGTAAATAGTGACTCGGGGATTTGGAGATTGCAAGGTAGTAAAGACGTGCAAAATGTCAGTCAATAAAAGTGAGTAATGTTAGGAAAACAGCGGAGCGATGAAAATGTGAAAAGGGTCCTCAAAAGAGCTGATAATATTGCATGATGGAGAAAAGAGAACTTCAATGGCTTTGAAAGTTCAATAGCACCGCGCTTACCAAAGGCTTCAGCGAATGGCCACAAGAAAGCAGGTACAAGCGAAAAGTGCTCGCCAGCCTTAAGTGAAAACTCGGATAGATGTGCCCGAAGAGAAACACCATGGAATGGATGGGGCATGGCGCTCACACATCAACGCGGAAGCTCATCACCTGTGGTAGATATGCAGCGCCTGCAAGATCAAGGACATGAACATCGTCGAAAACGTCATGACCATTGAACTGTGCGAATAGATGTTAGCATTTTCAAGACATCCAAGCTCCAAAGAACAAAGTCGATGGAAGACTCACCCCTCCAAAGACAAACAGTCTGCTATCTGCAAGGATCGTCGCATGGTATCCGCGCGCGGAAGGGGGTTTACCTTTCACCGTTCGTGGTTCATATTGGAGGTTCACTGTGCTCAAGTGCGTCAGTTCGTTTTGCACTGAAGTTTGAAACCATAGGCGTGCACTCACCAAGGTTAAACAAGACAACTTCGTCTCTATACGCCCCACCGTCGTGTCCGCCTACGATGAAGAGGCAGCTTCCAACTTGTGTAGAGGTATGCGAAAGCCGTCGGTGAGAGAGAGGGAGATTAAGACGGGTCCAAACAAGAGTGTCTGTCAGGAAGTAAGATTGACAGTTAGGACTGAAGGAAGAACAGACGCGACGTGGGGCCCAAAACATTATATAAATGACCCACCAAGGTGTAGACACCATACATCAGAAAAACATTCTCTCCCATCACTCCCTCCGACCACGATCATTATATTGCCTACCAAATTGGCAGTGTGGTATCCTCTCGGCACGGGCGGCTCACCTTGCGTTTCGACGAGGGACCAACGAAGCCCACCGCTTGCGCCTGAGCCGCCAAAGGAACCACCCCCGTACGAGTACGTCTGTTTAGAGACACTTAGTAACATGAAGACACTGATTAATAAACCACACACAGATTGTGAAGTAGGATCTAACCGAGAGACATCAAGCGTCCATAGATCGTTGAGAGCTGTGAGGCCATTTCCTCCCCCAAAGATGTAGATTTTGCCATTATAGAGGACAGACGTGTGGGCACGACGCGGTGCTGGGTGGAGGGGCCTCTCTGAAGGATTCTGCGATTGCGATGCCGGCGGTTGCACCTCAGTGTTCGATTCAGGGTTCTGCGACGGGGATTGGGAGTGAGGAAACAAGGGACAGAACCAGGAACGCGTAGTAGTGTCAAATATATATGTACTGTCGTAGTACACTGGGCCTTGGCCCCCGCCGAAAATCACAATTTTACGGTCGACGAGAGTAGCAGTATGGGCGCGGCAGGGTGGTGGAACGTCGCCGAGGGTGTCAGGATGTGACCAGTGCATTGTATCTGAAGCCCGCAACTTCATCAGTATCTCACAGATAAAACATGCATCACGAAGAAGTGCAACTGACCGGTATCAAAACAGTACACATCCTTCCAACAGCCTTTATCATCACATCCTCCGAACAACCACGCAACATGGTCTACAAGCGTGACCGTATGAGCCCTGAACGCGCGCATGGGGAGGGTGCCATGAATTGGAGCTCGTGACCAGTAGAGTGCGGTTGCAGGTGCAGGGGGATCGTCGGAGTGCGGCAGACGTGGGGTGGCGCGAACGCGCTGTTGGGTTTTTGGAGGGTATTTACCTTCCCTGGCAGAAGGAGAGGATGCACGTCGTTTGATGGAGGAGGAGATGGATTCAGCGGGAACTGCGGTGGAGGTGTGGCGTAAAGAAGAAGGTTTCCGGGAAGAGGCGGTGCGAGGTGTACCAGGCATTGTTTGGGTTGATGTACTGGTGGGCGTAGAGCCCGCCGTTGGAGTGTTCGCGGTAGCTGTAGGTTGTCCACCAACGTTAAACGTGGACGTTGAAGCTGTCGCCTGGTGGGTTGGGTGTATATATGGTGAATGGGTACTATCAATGTTGCTACTAAGCTGCAGCGCTGTCGGACGGGAATCATCATGAAGGGAGAGCGAGCTCATGGTATCATTGTCATCGTCATCCACCGGCGCAAAGAGAAGCGTCGACGCTGTCGTTGAATATGTTGCAGAAAGATCTGGATTGGTCTTTTGCCGTCCCCGCTGTGCCATGGCGATGTGCACAAGCGATCAACTCGTGGGAACAATATTCGGTTGTCCTGGAGTAAGTAATTATATTAATTAGCGCTTAGCGCTCGTGCACCGATGCCATCATGACTCACAAACAACTACTCCTTCCTTGAAGCCCCCCCGGGAGAGACTCAGAATGCTGCTGCGATCATGAAATGATTTAAAACATTGTGTATGCACAAATCTCCCAAGAATATGTTATAAAATACAAGGGACCCGCCTACATCGACTATCAACCTGGTGGCCCCTTCAGGCCAATCACACATCGCCGATTATCCTCGATGTTCTTCTCCCAGGACCCATTGGGTAAAATGGTATGCGCGTCTCATTCTCCTCGTGGTCTTCCAAATCTCATTCGTCCGTGTATAGCGGTACGCTACAGCGTGTGCTCCCGACGATGGCGGTGACCTCATACGCGATGAGGAACATGTTTCTCCTCCTTCCCCCCAATCCCGGCTCAAGCCAGCTACCTGTATCAGACATTGTCAACTCCGGACACAATCGGTTTTGTCTCTGCTTCTAGCTGATTTTGAACTTGTTCCCTAGAATCTCGTTCCTGTGAAATTGTTTCACGCTGCATGCGTTGTTTTCCCTAGCTGGAATCTATGTTTACCATGCCCCCTAAAGCGCTTGAGATATATTGACAGTCCCAATGGTTGATCCTGTCCAGACACGGTCAGTTGGTTTTGCTTTGCAGCTCAGCCTCAAATTCCTGGTGATTGCCACTGATATTGTGTACATTCACCGTTCGTCGTCAGCACTGGGTCATCGTCAACCCCAAGGACAGTATGCCATCACCTAGACCAGTGACTGTAGACAAATTCTTGGCAATATATATCATGATGTTCTGATTAGCTTGCTTCCGAAACAAGTAGTACATTTGGATTACATCTACATGACAAATGGAGCAAACCATCGAATCATTTAATATATTGTCTCATCCCATGCGCCGGTATCGTCGTTGCAAATGTTCATTGAACAACTGGAATTTCTAAATGGCACATTAAATGCCACTACTAAATATGCAGGCTCCAACTTGAACTTTGACAACGCCAAACCTAACTTGAAGAGACCGCTGTTACCTGTATAATTCGATTTTGGAGCAGGCCGAGCGCAGTGCATGGACAATAACCTGCCGCTATGAACTGATGGGCCCATCAGTGCACTTGTGTGGCTGAATGGTTGGCACTTGAAGTCAACGTTCTGGCTATGCTTCGGAGTTCTGCTCAAGGATGAGACGCCCATTTCCTTCTCACACCATTATTCAGTGTACCCCACCGTTTCTCTCACACCGATCCAAAACTACAGTCACTCACGATGAGTGAAGACCATAGACCAGATATCGATCCTCCTCCAGGAGTCTCCAGATCCAGTCAGGCAAACGTTGTTGAAAGCTCGGTACGTGCTAGTCTCTCAAAATCTATCGCTGCCCTTATGCGTTATTCGTCCAGAACCAATCCCGTGGAGGATTGTGTCAGTCACTGCGGAAATTGAAGAATGGGTTAACCAAAAAACTTCCTGTGCGTGGACGTCAATACTGTTTGTCCTGAATACGACTGAGACTGTATAGAAACGCTCTACGCGAACACGCAACCGCACCACTGCGGTCCAGAACGTCGAAAGTGAAGGGGCTTCATCTAGTCAGAAAGTTGAGGTGAGTGCTCGAACTTGCTATCCTAGTCCTTCGGTGTTCTTAGAGGCGCCCAGGACACGCTGCATCTTCATACTTCCAATGACAACAAGCATCCCACCACATCTGAGATTCTCAGTGACTCCGTGAACCAAGGGTTGTCTGGTGAACCTGCTTCACAGGTATGTTCGTCAAATACGTTGATTTTCTTCTCTAATTTTTGCGGTCCCACATATTCAGGCCGCTCCTTCTGACAAGGACAAGGGACCTGATCCCCAATTAGTTGACGCTGAACTTCAGGGTGCCTATGATGGTACACAAAACATGAAATTACTCGGAAAACATGCGATTTCTATGGCATCCGCCGCCGACAATGCCCCAGCGGGTCTTGCTGCTGCGGATAATTTTGAGATGAGGTATCTCCAGCCGCTAATGATTATCGACGGTGTCCTTGAGAAGATCGCGGATGTATGGGCCATTCTTGTTGATTGGAAGCGAACTAATTAAATTGTATAGATACATCCGTACGCAAAGATGGTGCTGGGTGTGCTATCTGCTGCATCTAAAGTATGTTTGGTTTCTCCCAAAGTCCAGTCTCCTGCTAGAAGTCACAATGTCTTATAGATTATAGTCGCTCAAGCAGAGCGCGACAAATGTATCTATAGTCTTCTCAAGAAACTGGCTGAAGTTTACCGCTTCATGACTCAAGATGACAGTCTCAGTAAAATCGAATCGATGCGCGGTATCGTTGGAAAGATCGTTCAGCAGACTCTTGAGTGCGCGCGTTTCATCAGGGACTACTCGGAGACAAAGAACTTCTGTGAGTCACCAAGCTATCGCACTTTGTACACGAATCTTATAATATTGTCATAGGGAAGAGACTCGGGAAAAACGTTCTCTCGGAAACTGATGACGTCGTCAAACGGTACAGCGACACTTTGGACGACCTTGTACAACAATTCCGGGACCAAGTTGATCGGGACGTGGCCGTCTTCGTCCAGCGTACGGGTAAGGATTCTGACATACTTCTGTCTTTACATTCACTCACTGTTTCAGGCGATACCCTGGATCTCGGGGATATCGCTTATGCAAAGGGCGCAGGACTAAATACTATGAAACAATGCCTACCAGGGACGCGCAAAGAGATGCTTTCCCAGATTACGGACTGGATCAACGGCAGTGGAGATGCTGCTCAACGTGTGCTGTGGCTATCTGGCCCTGCAGGCACAGGTAAATCAGCCATCGCTCAAACGATTGCCAAGGGGTTCAATGACATGGGAGTGCTCGGTTCATGTTTCTGCTTCGACAAGGCCGAGAAACGCCACGAAAAAGTTTTCTCTACCATCGCTCGTGACCTAGCCGATCGTGATCCGGAGATGAGACGAGCATTGGCGGATGCGGTTAAAAATTCCACTTCACTCAAGAACCCGAAGGATATTTTCCAGCAGTGGGAGAAGCTTCTCATGAATCCACTGAAGAAATTCCCTACGTCAAGTGTGGGACCTGTCTTGATCGTGATCGAAGCGCTAGACGAGAGTGGCGGAGTGGAGACGCGGCGGGACCTTCTCCGCATACTTGCGGGTAAACTTCAAAACAAGGATCTTCCTCAAATCACGGAACTCCCATTTAACTTTCGTATCCTCGTTACCTCTCGTCCACTTCATGATATCGAAGATGCATTTCACGGCGCTCAGCATATCCTACCGTTATCCATGGACCAAATTCCAGCCACAGTGGCGGAGCGCGACATCCGTACGTTCGTATCTGAGGAGCTGAAGGGGTTATCGGATTTTCACGACAAAGAGTTTGCAAGTCTTGCTGCGAAAGCTGATGGACTTTTTGAGTGGGCGCGTCTCGCCTGCGAATACATCAAAGATACCCCTCCAGGTGTCCGCCAAATGCCTCGCTTCAATGCTTACGCGAACCGCAGTGCAGGAAAGCAGAAAAACCTGTTGTATGATATGTATTTGGTTATTTTGAAAGACATTATGAAAAGGGATCAACATGATGACGATGAGTATGAAGAAGCACTAGCAGGGTTTCGTTCCGTGATGGGACAGATACTTGGCACAGCTGAACCACTGCCTTTCAACTCCCTCAATATCATGCGGAACTACTTTCCAGACCGAAGCAAGGATGTCATTATGGATATTATTAAACGTATGGGATCCCTCCTCAGCGGCACCACCAACTTATGTACTCCCATCCGACCTCTTCACGCATCTTTCCACGACTTCCTCACAGACAAGTCATCCAGTGGAGACTTTTTCGTTCAGGTGTCTAATGTGCAACGCGACCTTGCATTCGCATCACTACGAGTGATGGAAGATGGCCTTTGCTTCAATATCTGTGATTTGAAGTCGTCGTACCTACCTAATTCGCAAGACACGGGACTACCTCAACGAGTCAAAACATGCATTCCCTTACATCTCTCTTATTCCTGTCGATATTGGACTACACATGTTCAGACAACAGACTTTGACGATGAGCGACTGCTGTTCTGGATTGAAGCGCTCGGACTTCTCAACGCAATCAGAGGTGCAATTATCGTGCTCCCACTCGTTGCCAAGTGGCTAAAGGTGAGTACTGAGGCAGTGTTGGACGAACAGCTCATAAATACATACAGGGTCATTCTGGATACGAAGATCTGCAGTCCACCACGATGGATGTACAAAGATTCATTCAAGTGTTTGGCGGCATGATTTTGCACAGCACGCCGCATCTGTATTTATCAGCGCTTCCATTCTCGCCCGTCAACTCCACCATGGCCACCAAATTTACGACAAGGTTTCTGAATAACCTTCGCCTGGCATCTGGCCGTGATCTAAATTGGACAGTTGTTCAGACCATAATCAATGGTCACACTGGCGCGGTTTCGTCACTCTCGTTCTCACCTGATGGTACTCGCATCGCGTCTGGTTCTTGGGATAGGACCGTGAGGTTGTGGGATGCAGCGACGGGACAGCCATTGAGTGAGCCCTTGCTGGGGCACACTGGAGCGGTTGAATCGGTCTCATTCTCACCGGATGGTACCCGCATCGCATCTGGTTCTTTGGATAGCACTGTGAGGTTGTGGGATGCAGCAACGGGACAGCCATTGGGTGAGCCCTTGAAGGGGCACACTGGAGAAGTTAGGTCAGTCTCGTTCTCACCGGATGGTACTCGCATCGTGTCTGGTTCTTTGGATAGGACCGTGAGGTTGTGGGATGCAGCGACGGGACAACCATTGAGTGAGCCCTTGCAGGGGCACACTGCAGGAGTTACATCAGTCTCGTTCTCACCGAATGGTACTCGCATCGTGTCTGGTTCTTGGGATAGCACCATGAGGTTGTGGGATGCAGCGACGGGACAGCCCTTGGGTGATCCCTTGCAGGGACACACTGGAGAGGTTTGGTCAGTCTCGTTCTCACTGGATGGTACTCGCATCGTGTCTGGTTCGGATGATCACACCGTGAGGTTGTGGGATGCAGCAACGGGACAGCCATTGGGTGGGCCCTTGGAGGGGCACACTGAAGATGTTTAGTCAGTCTCGTTCTCACCGGATGGTACTCGCATCGCGTCTGGTTCAAATGATAACACTGTTCGGGTGTGGAGTGCAGTGAAAGTGCAGCCATCTCCCAAGTCAGGAAAGCCAGATTCCTCCGCATCTTCGCTGCATTGAAGCACTGCACCTCCCATCCAAGAAAACCGTTTCATGTCCACCAACACTCGTAATGATCGCCTCATTTCCTTCTCTTCCAGTCTGGAACACGCTTTACCCGGTGGAGCAGGCCGAGAGGCTTGCAGCCCAGAGACAGGGAAACCAAGCTGGAATGAGGTGAAGCTACGCGACGACATGCTCGAGACCTAGTCTACATGCTGACTAAGCTATGGAAAGGGCTGACTGAGGCCTTGGTGCGCGACTCTTGCCCTTGGGACCCCCAGTCCACCGGCCACGCTGATTTGCTTGAACCCACCTCTTATCATGATTCTAACTCAACCCCTGTCTTGCTGCAAGCTGATGGATGGATAACGGGACCCAATCATCGGCTCCTTTTCTGGGTACCTCCCTCTTCCCGACGTGGATTACATACTCCTTGGACTGTATTAGTGATACCCAGAGGATATCCTGAGCTTGATTTGAGCCGCATGGCACATGGAACACGCTGGTCGAGTTGCCGAGATGCGTGAGTTCTTAGTCTTTACCATTCGTCCTCATAGTTGCTAACATCAATCCTGCTAGCTCCACGTAATGATGAATTTATTGCTGCAATAGCGAGTGTACCATTTGATCCTTTGATTCCTTATCAATTTCATACCTAGCACCGAGCCTGAATCTATGATTGTCTGACTGAACGATACGCTGAAAAGCAGACTGGGTGAAAGTCAAATGTTGCCGCTCGTAAGAGTATGTACGGCAAACTGATTTCATCTCTGAGCCGTGTTTGCACCCTTGAAATTCATGCAGATGCTTTGAGTAGGTATCATAGGCGCTTCGGTGTTCCTTGTTTCACTGTCAGTGCCGAGAAAACTTGAAGTTCTTGTGGCAGTCGCAATCTTTCGATTGAAGTGTATGTGACCAAGTGGCTACAACCTCGCACATACAGTGGTACAAGGACATGCCGATCGACTCATTCTCATGTCCGGACTCTGATGAGGAACTTCATGGTATCACGACAGACAGAAGATGCCTCTGGCTTAGGGTGCGGTAAAAAATTATCCAGCCAGTTATTAACTGGGTTATTAACCCAGGAGGATGGCAGTTAATTATTAACTGACATTTTTTAACACATATTGACAGTCGGCACGTGATTTTTTCAGTTCAAGCTAACTCGTCGAAAACAGGTGTTATTAACTATTCTTGATGAAAAAACTTCTGTGCGCTGGGCAATTTCACTTCCAGACCCATTCGCCATCAGCATCGTCGGCGTCATCAATGCAAGCCACCATTTGCTCTTCTTACCTTTCGACACACTCCCTTGGGGTGGATCATCAGCGAGAATTTTTGTGAGTTCCGGCACGTCTAAGTCAATGTCTTCCTCGGCATCGAAAGTGGAATCACCAGGCATTTTTTCAATTTTGTCATTGAGCCAGGTATGAGTATCTTCATCAAGTATCTCCTCGTGTTCATCACCGTTTTCAATAATCAACGAACTTCCTGTGACGCAAAGCTTTCGGTAAAGTGATTTTTCAACCATCAATCTATGGCTTGACGAAGCGCCACAGGTGCTCCCGAACCTCCTGGATCACCATACAATACCTTTCTCTCACTCTGGTTGACTACGATGGCCACCCAGTGGTTGCCATTGATAAGACAAAGTGTACTGATGCTATCCTTTAACCCGCCTGTGAGATCAGATCCCAAACGTGGCAGTTCTCCGCAGTCCTTTGAGTTGGGATAATCAATGTTGTCACGCAAGCCGTAAACAGACTGAATTTTGGTAGCTGTGTAGCACAGAACAATGTCATGACGGGAGGAGAGGTACGAGTTGGTAGAGATGGGTTGCCGGATGATGTCGAGCATCATGTTGACTGTGGTATCACTAAGCCAGACATGTGAGGCAAGCTGCGACAGCTTGAAACAGGAGCCATGTCACGAAAGCCAAGCACATTGCCTTCCAAGGGGAGCTTTGCCAGTCAAAGGCAAAAATCAGCTGCTGCAGAACTCGGAATAAGGCCATCATGAACTGTTTTGGATGGAACTGAGGTATCGAGAACTGAACCACTCATAGCCGTCAAATCTGTAAGGAGGTCTGCGATACAAGCAAAAAGTTAGATCAGTAGAATTTTGATTGACATATCTATTATCCCAATCACTCCAGTCGTCCAACACTCTGAAAACATATTAGTATGATTCAGGTGCAACCCAATGGCTGGAATGACACAAATATGTCAGTATGAGATTCTACGAGCCTTTATCCACCCAACACGAGGCAAATCAGGACAAATTTGATATAACAGCATGCCTAGGATGCCATGGTAGGACATGGTACATTATTTACAGTTCTTGACCGGTGTCCCTCCAGCATTGAATTATTTACAGTTAATAACCTGGTGTCATAACCCAATAATGAATTAACGCTGGGCAGAGACTAGGACTCAAACAACAGAATAATCACACAGAGGAGGTAGGCAGCAGGTACGTCTTGGTATTGCTCACTTGGAGATACAAGAGGTTTGAACTAAAGAACTATTGACTACGATGAGCTACCTATATACACATATTGAAACTGAGATCGAAACTGAGTATGAACTAACTAACCAATCAGAATAATTAAAGGTATTGTACGATTCTATATATAACTATGATGTCATAACATGTGTCGCAGCTGCAGTAAGATTCTGGAACATTCCAAGAGTGTCGCGTGGTGCACCATAATTAGATTCGGCATTGTCTGATAAGTCACGTGACTCTGGTAATTCTACAATAGACGCAATAATAGGAACTTCTTCAACAGTAAACATATTCTTAGGAACAGGTGCTGTGACTGGGCGCTTAAAAGATTTAGAATTAAGGAATGAATAATGATTCGTATTTGGAACTCGTGACACCCGGTTAATAACTCAGTTAATTAACCGCTGTTAAAAATTATTGAATTTTTCACCGCACCCTACTCTGGCTCTTTGCTTATTCTGTGTCATATCCCATATATTCACGCTTCTCTTCCGGACTTCGGACCCTGAGATCCGATCCGGTCCGATGTATAGATCCGCTTCCGATCCGATGTAGAGACTTGTGTGTCTCATGGTCTGATATGACAGCTTTACACTAGGAAGTACATAGCATGAACTTGTAGTGTCACTCTGTGCACTACCCGCAGCTATCTATATGAGGCGCAGCTTTCCCGCGCAATGCGCGCCATGCGCGCACCATTCCCGCGCTTCACGATGTATGCGTGCGCGTGTTCCCGCGCTTGCGCGCCCTATAGCGCCAGCCATTCAGATGCATCCATCCACTGTCCACCAAGCTCCCTAGTACATATATTTCCATTTCCTTTATTAGCATAGTTCCACCTTTATTTTTATCATAGTTTCTCACTCATATATATTTTTACATACCTACTCGGTAGCGCTTCGGCTCCGCAAAAAAAAAAAAAAACCTTACTTTTACCTCCCAATTACTAGTTATCACTTACTTACTACTTAGCAGAATATAGTAGAAGTCTATTTGTCTATACTTTGCATCTCCCTTCTCTTTTCTTGCATTATATTATCACTTGAGTCTAGTCTTTATCATTTTCCGCATACGCGCACGCGCTTTCCTGCGCTTCGCGCTAATACACGCGCGTGTTCCTGCGCCTTGCGCGCACCTGCGCTTTCTCGCGCTTCGCTGAAGCGCGTACCTCTAGATCTTGGCTGCACTCGCTTCCCCTTTAGGGTCGAATGCACTTGTCTCCTCAAGTAACGCAGGCTAGGCAACGCACGACCTTCAACTATTATAGATACAGCTAGGAGCATTATTTGTTCCTCTCTGTATTGTTGTTTCTACACCGATTTACGATAAGCTTTCTAATTCATTTCCTGTTCATATAACGTTAAACACAGCCTATTCGGTATTTCCTCTTCCCGGTGTTTTGGTTATACTTATTACCGGTATGATTACTGATCCATTAACCTATGTCTCATTTCCGACTCGCGTTTGATAACCTTTGCACATGCTTCGTACATAGCCTCGGACCTTTGCTTACTGATACTTCTGTTATCCTCATAGTATATAAACTCGTGTATATGTCCTGTAGTACCTCAGTTCGAATATCATCTTAGTTTGTCCTCTTTCTGTCCTCCGGACTTGAGTCCTTCTTACTCTTGTCACCCTCCGAGACTTCGGATAGATTCCGATAGTCTATATCCTCGGCTCTACCTTCGGGTAGTCTTACTCTGTTAGTTTCTAGTTCGGATACGTCCGGATTAGTCTTATATACGTTTCCGATATCCGGAAGACATCCAGATATACTACGAGACCCGTCCGGACCTTCGGACACGTTATCGTTAGTACTTTGAAATAAGGGACAGTACTTGGGAAAGGGGCACAGCGTACGAGCTGAGGCCAAAGTCCTTCGGATCCGATCCTACGAGAGTACGACCTTAACATTCTGCCAGGCTACATCAGTAAAACCTCGTAATCATTTTCCATCATTATGTCACTTTTTTCACCTTGGCACGAGTGCTAAGGTGCGAAAATCAATCTAAGGAGTGATAAGACATTTTGTTGATTTTTCTCCAAGGCGGTTAAGAGAGTTTAATGTGCAAAGGAGAAATAATACATGTTCAGAGAGATAATAGTAGTATACATTCAAAGTGTGTACAATAGCTATAGTAAATAAAGTATTGTCAAAATGCAATCTCAAATGCATGGTGGTCAGCATACTTATTCATGTAGTAAGTTCGAAATGTGTCATATGAGTCATGGCATTTGAATCCCTGAGGCAAAAACTCCATGCCATACACCGGAATGAGATGCGCAGCATGATAGATAGCATTGACGTGAATGACAGCGTGCTTGGATGCGCCACCTGTGGGACTAACGATCCACATTCCCATATCTTCGTCTGCAGTGTCACCAACCTTGTCAAACCAGTGTATCACGGCGCAGGGATATGTATTACCCCGATACTTGAATGAAAAAAAAGTGCGAACTCGAGCAACCTTGAGGCCTCGCATGCCAGGTAAATCGGAGTCTGTGTTTACAAAAACACAGTCGTAGCGTGAGTGCTCATTGCACCAGGATGGAGAAGAGTGGATGTGCTCAGTGCGCATGCCACCGCTACCGCTCAAATCACTGGGCGCATAGAAGCGTGACGAGGCTGAATTAAAAACCAATATTTTGTTGAGATAGCGAGGACATTCCGCGAGAGGTACATCACATGGGTCGCAGTGATCATCAGGGTGTAATTGTTGGAATAAAAACTGTGCAAGGAGGTCGGGAAGGCGAGGTATACTGAGTTCTTCAGTGAGTGCAGGGACAGTTTAAGCACACTTTTTCCACTCTGTACAGTATGTTAGAATATTGAAAAATGAAGATAAATGAAAAATTACGGGGGTTTTTGCCAGCTGCACGAAGGCTTGTAAAATGGTTGGTCCATCATCGATTTCGAGGTCCCCATCAATACTAATCCGCAAAGGTGCAGCTGGTGCAGGTGCAGGTGTTGTTGCTGTTGCTGGTGTTGCTGTTGCTGGTGTCGCAAATTTCCTAAAGTGGTTGCAATGAGGTATTCTTGAAACGAATTTGCAAGGAATCTTGCTATATTTCAATATATTGCAATAATATGGCAACCAAATTGCACCGTGCCAGTACCATTGCAAGGCCTGTTGCAATCTGTTGCAATGCCATTTTAACTACATTTCTATGGCAATTTTAAGTACAACTCTATTATTTAAACCCATTTCAAAGGCCATTTTGCCTTTGAACCTTGAAATGCCTTACAAGGCGTTGAAATCCAAATTAGGAATTTCTGACAGGTGTTGCTGTTGCGGGTGTTGTTGCTGTTGCTGGTATTGTTCCAGGAACTATTATGTACATTAGTGTTTGGGACATCTTGTACTAGTATAAACCGAATGACTTACCTAAGGCATTCATAGCTGCTGAGAGGCAGGTGCCAGCTGACATCCCTTGACGTGTGAATTCAACTTGTGCTGCTGAAATTTTGTCGAGCCGTTGATTGATCAATAGCATTTGACCGAGCGTGCAAAAACAGCTCGATCATCTCCAAGGTTCTTTGACCGCTTTGATGTGCTTATTCTCAGTAATCAATGAGCAGAGGCCATTGGGTGCAGCAAAAAGTCGTATATTTTGTATGTAATGCTTGAGCGAATGTTGACAAGGCAGCGAGAAGGTAGGAATAGTACCCGATGTCTTGAAGATTTCGTGGTAATGATGAAACCGTGAGAGTGCATCTTCAATCTCAACTAGAACATGCTCTGTGATGATATTGTGGCGAACGAGGTAGCAAAATTCTAGGAGTGCACGGAAGGCGCACACGATATCAGTAGGTACATGACCCTCAATTGCGGGCAAATAGACCTGTTGAATTAGTAAGTTCTATGGTGAGGTGAGACTCAAAATGCGTGAATTACCTTCATCAGGGCCTTAGAGTCATCTCCCGTCCATTGCTTGAAGCCACGTCCCTGAAGGAATCGTCGCAAGCCTGAAAATGGGGCCACAGCGGCAATCCTAATATACAGTGAGTGATCATATGTAATATAAACACTAGATAAGCTTACCTGCGATCAATATCATCTAAAATTTGCTCTGCGTGTCATTTTGGATGAACGTGTCTGAGGTATTTTTCGACCCATTCCACAAGGTGGTCCTTGAAGGCACCTTTGATGAGCTGATGGAGGATGTCGGGTGAGATCATTTGGTATATATCGGCTCGGGGGAAGTTGTTTGTAAATGGCTGTTGAAATAATTAGTATTGATGACCTGTGAAGAGCATACCGATTGACATACCACAAGTTCTGGAACTATCCCTGCTTCATTCCACAAGTTACCCAAGGGACCTTCTTCAATAAGTGCCTCTACATAGTCATGGCAACGACACAACGAGTCTTGATCAAGATTGGCATGAGGTGCCATACATCTGTAGAGGTATTAGTTACAAGGTAAAAAACATATGAAATGATAGATACGTACTTAGGACACTGACCACAAACAATACACGTCAATAGTACTTGCTCCTCGTAGTCTGCGATGTAAGGTCCTAGCCCATATACAACTTGCCGGTAGTGACCATCTCCAAAATGTGCGACTTCGGGTGTTGTCATGCCTGGCTTAAGCGAACTGAGAATCTTTGAGAGTGACGAGGGAAATAATTGTTGACGAAAATTTCGGAAGGTTGGCTCATCCGCATGTTCTTTTGTAGCTGTGCATGCAGGTGTGAGTGCAGAGTGGATGAATGTGTTGTGACCATAAATTAGCATACACTAGAAGAGTTCACACTGTGACGTACTTTTTGGCATAGTGAGAAACCCAATAATCGCTAGTCCATCATGATGGGCTCGTCGAACGTTGTTGCAAATATTCCCGATTGACGCATAAAGCGGGTAATATTCATTATTCCCCATACCGACTGAAACAGTTGTTTTGTCACTACCGAGGATTATAGGGACGAACGTCGAGCTGAGCGTGTTTGGATCTTTAGCAATTTCGTCCTAGACACAGATTTAGCAGCCATTATCGAAGGAAAGTCAAGTACTTACTGCCTGGTCCCAGGCCCAGTTGCCTGACATGAAATCCTTCCACTGACACTGATCGTTCTCCATAGAGTATTCTCGATATGGGCAGTAGTCAAATTCATTAGCGTATGCTGAGTTGGCAAGCATGTTGCGTGTCACCTCACGTGGGTCACGGAACCATACATCGTACTTATCATCCATCCAGGGCTTGGGATTTTTGGGTCTCTCACCATCATAGGCCACCATGAAACATTGCCATTTCACGTCTCCAAAGGGTGAACTATCAATGACCGCGTAGAGATCACGGTGATCTGCAAATGGTGGCCTGTCATTGTGCTTTGCGAGGGTAGATGCCCATAAGTCCAACAGTCGGTTGATCTGACCAGCCGACATCTGATTTTGCATGTACAGAAACTCTGCCATTTCAAATTCCACACGGCTATGAAAGGGTGTCCAGTCGTCCGAGGCTACATTCTCAGGAGGAGGAGGAGGAGCGCCAGGAAGGAGATATATACCATCTGCATCACATGGTTTGCCTACCATCGTGTGAAAAATAAGATAAAACCAGCCAGCAAATGAACATACCATCGAGACCCATGTGGTAGTTCCTATACAGATGATTGCCAGGCCCAAAAAACTCTGTGTGGATGTTTGGCTGAGGGGACAGTTGGTGTGGGGGATCGCCCATGTCAATATCATAGTCAGTGCATCCTTCATCAACATCCATTTCAAAATTGAGTTCTGGGGAGCGACTGGCCTGAGGCACTACTGGTGGAACAGGGTGTGCAGCAAGACAATGTTTCATTCGGCCAGCAACAGTTTTGAACCATCGTGGGCAACTTCCGCACGGAAGCTGAAGTGCGCTGAAGTCTCATCGATGGACTTGAGTACGAGGAATATTATCAGGCATTGCAGTAACTAAGGTTCAAATAAGTCTATGTACTTCATTAAAATAATAATTTATGCGCCTTCTTGTTGGTAGGATGGCCAATTTCAGTTGACGAACCAATTAATTGTCTGGTCATTGACTATTGTCAATAGGATGGCCAATACTATCTCTGGGGACTGCGCACCTGTCTGGTTGGCAGGATGGCCAATTTTCAGTTGACAAAGCGATTGATTGTCTGGTCGTTGCAATTTCTGTTGACGAACTGATTAATTGTCTGGTCGTTGACCCACGGATGCGCCTGACAAAGGGATCCACACACCTTCCAGTTGACGAACCGATTGATTGTCTGGTCATTCCAATTTCGGTTGATGAAGCGGTTAATTGTCTGGTCATTGCAACTAAAGTTGACGAACTGATTAATCGTCTGGTTGTTGACCCACGGATGCGCCTGATGAAGCGATTGATTGTCTGGTCGTAGGGATCCACATGTAGGATGGCCAATACTATTGGAGATCTGTGCACCTGTCTGGTTAGTAGGATGTCCAGTACCATCTCTGGGGACTGCGCACCTGTCTTATTGGTAGGATGGCCAATACTATCTCTGGCACGACTGTTTGTCGGCAGGATGGCCAATACTATCTCTGGGGATCTGTGCGCCTGTCTGGTTAGAAGGATAGCCAGTACTATCTCTCAGGATTCACGTACCTTCTTGTCTGTAGGGCCACTAAGACTGGCTCCAGGGATCCACGTGCCTTCTCATTGACGTTTGGTCTGTAGTATCAGGTGAATATAAGAGAAAATGAGTGACAAAAAAACTGACTTAGAATAACGAACAATTTTCAGGTGCGCACTCAGTTGTAACGAGGTGAAGATGGTCTGACACTGCTGGAATGGGCGTTTGTTTGGTTAAGTGATTTAAAGTTAGTATGAGAACTTACAAATTTGCACCGAGCGCTTCAAAGTTCAACTCCAACCACCCGATTCCTTACACCCTTCTCCACCCTCCTGTGTGCTGCAGTACCTGTTAAAATTAGCTACTTGTCAGTTATGACTGATATCAATGAACTGCGTCGCACCCGCCCACAAAATGCGAATAAACACCCAGGCTTACCCAACCTGGAAGGGCAAAGTCAGCGACGTTCTCAAGCTAAGAAGAAGAACACCAAACTCCCCCAGAAAACCCATGAAGCTCAAGAACTGGCCGTGGTTGAGGGTTTGCAGCAGCTGTCTGCCATGCAGGAAGAGATGAAGAAGGTGGAGGTGCAAAGCATGACGAAGAAGCCAAAGGCAGTAAGGCCCTGCGCTCGCCCTGTCAAGAAAAAGTCAGAGCCTGCTGCTCAAGCAGATAAGGCACTCCTGGGAGTAGGAACTGATACCGTGGCCAGTGAGCGCATGTCGCAAATGCTGCGTGATACTGACCCAGGCGAGGATGTTGAGGCTCGGTCTCAAGAAAATCAGAAGGACAATGGAATCAAGACAAAGAAGAAGACTGAGAAGGACACGGCTCTTGCAGCTCAGTCAGGGGCACGTGTTGAAGACAAGAAAGGAAAGTTGATGTGCATCCAGACTTCTTTTCCAACCATGATGTTGATGCTTACCGAATCAACGCTTCTTTTCCTTAATTTGACCTCAAATTTCAGGACCAAGTCCAAGTTTTCGTTAGGGAGGCGCATCCAGGGTTGGGTTAAAGATGTTTCACCAGACCAGTCTGACATCATATCAAGCGCTCCCAAGCCGCCTCATATGGCAGTCACGGGACTGACTTTAGTGCACTAGCCATCAACTACCATCTTCTTATCTGGCTCCCACCCTACGTCCACAACAATTGTGACCACCAGCTCCGGCCAGCACAAAATCCCACCTCAGGTTGTCGCTAATTCTTCTCAAGCTCTCGTTGGTGGCTTTGGCGATGAGCTTTTTGATTCAGAGGATCGCTTGGGCATCCTTCCAAAGCCATCCACGCTTAAGGTGTGTGGCAGTTTAATATATCATTCAATTCTAATGCAGTAAGTGGACACTACAGATTATAGATGTGCCTACTGAGCTGACCGCGGACAGGTCACTTCCAACGGAGGGCTTGAAGGATGACACAAAGGATTCGGATGATGCATCAACCGATGCAGACAATGATGCACCAACTGATGCGGACAACGATGCAACAATGGATGTCAAGGAGGATATGGCCGATAAGTCTCAGGATAGCGGTGACAGCCTGAGCAGTTTCATATTCCGTCGCTCAAATAACAGGACGCACAACGCTGTGGACACCAAACACCATGTCCCAGTCTTCAAGGATTCCTCAGACGAGGATGACGATATTGAGGTTCTCAACATGGATCATAGTATGATGAAGCCTACAGGCTTCGTCGAAACAACCAAGACAGCGAAGAAGGCTGTACGTTTGACGTCTTCCGTAAGTTCCTTTTTTATTTATTAACAATGGCTACTACTTATATTCTTGCGACAGACTTCTGTTGGCGTCTCCAAGTCATCCACTACAATGCAGCCACCTGCAAAGAAGGTCAAAATCGAAGACGGGGCCGATGATACTATACCAAAATCAACACTTACAGCGCCGCCTGGCTACTGGATTGAGAAGCGGTACAAGTCCTGTTCAGCTTATCGAAACTGTGATCTTCCCCCTCAATGCCAGGATCAACGATGGCCTAAGCACTTCCTCCCGACTGTTTATTTGTGGGCCAGCAGTCAAAATGACCTCTGGCAGATATCAGATAATTCTCTCATCGACGCGCTCCAATGCATCATGGATGTTGTGTATGATGATTCAGATCTCCAGTACAAGGTAAACACTCAAGGTTCTGTCTTTGGTGTCATAGGTCCCATGTTTTTTCTTGCATCACTATTACTAACTGACTGATCACAATTTGAATCAGGCCACGCAGCGTCTAGCAGAGTGGCGCAGTAATTTCGGTTCAACAGGACTTGCTATAATGATCGATTTCTATGCCCGGAACAAGGACACTGACGCGAAAGAGCTTGGCCAAGCGCTTATGGAAGACTTCGCTTTTCTTTTCGAGGACATGGACAACATCGACACAATGCAAGCATTCCTGTCCCCATTCATGTTACAACTCTTCACTACCGCTCATCTTCATAGCATTATCGGGTATGCTGAAGTCACTGCGCTCAAAACGGATGTATTGGCTTCCATTGGCATGGCTGGCGTTCTCGGCATTTGTGCAGCTTCGGTAAGTACCGGAGACATATGAGAAACATGACTGATAGCTGTACTTTTTTTGACAGCTTGAATGCGCCATTAAGTGCCTCAGTGATGGTGCCATCAACATTGATTCGGATGCTCTCAATATGCATCCTGCACAAAGGAAGCACAAGCTGTGGACACCGATGACCTTCAATAAGGCCACTGGCAATCACAGTACTACCGAACATGCGTTCTCTATCAATAACTGGGGGTCTGTGACTACCTCCTATGTGACTGGTGTCAAGAAAAAGGGAGAAAGCTTTCTGAGGGAGACAACATCGATGGCCCGGAAACTGCTCAAGAAATCAGGCAATGCTGCCCTTCGGAAGTACATTAGTCTCAATGATGAGGATGAGGAGGAGAACATTGACCGGCGCTGCATGTTGTGGTAATGAACCATTGCTTTATTTTATTTTTTTGTCAATGAACTAACATCATTCCATATAGATTCAAGTTGCAGTTTCACACTGCCTGCTGCGCGTTTTTTAATGTTGACTCATAACTCCGTGCTGTATCCATCTCCTCGTACCATCACATTTTGCCTGTTCCGCCATCTGTCTTCATTACTCGCCTTTAATTCCCCTTTTCTTCATTTACATGTATTTCTCATTTCGCCCTTTCCTACTGTTTTTACTGCTTTGTCGCCATTTGCATGCATTGTTTGCTCTATTTACACCACTTTTTCGTACTTTACCATTGGACAATGTGATGCCCTTTGCTCTATTATCACCACTGTCAATGCCTGATAAGTGACTTTTCAAGAGTGTCAAAGTAGAATTAAGAGGGCGAGTGGCCTTTTTTTCAATTTTTTCCGTCGTGTCTTCATGTTGTGTGAACAGCTCCTCAAATCTGATCAAAGCAGGAAAAATGAGAGTTCCGAGTGAAAAATGATGGAAAATGATTACGAGGTTTTACTGATGTAGTACGACGATTCACAGTAGTGGGTTGCCATTTGCTTGAAGTTCTGGTTGTTTCTGCAGGGCATCGTTCACAGGCGAGTTCATAAAGAGGTTGGGAACAAAATCAAATCCCTGCCAGTGGAACATGACAGTTTCCATCATTTACACTAGTATCTGTCCGGAGTCGTCTGCGTCTTTGATACAATCGGGGCCGCATGGTCCATGTCAGAGATATCAGAGCTAGTAAGATTTGTATTCATGAATGTCTCTGGTGTACCAATCAGCAGATCGAGTAGAGCCTCTGTGGCAGGCAAACACTGAAATTTGCCATTATAACCTTGTGGGTATGAGAAGGCAGCGGGTACTTCTCAATCGTCAGTGTTACTTGCTACTGATTAGAAGATTGGACTTGGAATTCAATGTCACCTTCCTGGGTTATTCAAGAACATAGGGTGAATTGTACAAGTACCAGAAGCAGGTGTGGGGTATATGGTAGGAATCCTTGCCACTATGCCCTTACACCAGCTTCTGGTACTACTTAGGATCGTGAACAACATGTCAAGTCATCGTTTTATCCAGACATCAGATCTTCAAAGAGGAGTTTGTGAATTTTCACAAAATATACGAAGAGGGAGAAGAGAATCAGAAGTGGGAGCACACAAGAATCTGAACAATCATTATGTTTGATAAAGCTCCTTGTACCACAATTATTGGACGATGCACGATTTTTGGCCACAGTGAAGGGTATTGAGATGAAGGTAGGCAGCGATAATGTCCATTGTGGTCTTTTTTCGAGCAAGTACAGTGGATAGCAAGCAGTGCGTGTTGCATGTTGGTCTAGTGTGAGTGGGGGTTGGTCAGAGACATGGGAGATGATTTCAAGATAAGTGCACGATCAAGAATGACAGTGAAATTCAAAAACTAACCACAAAGTTGCAATATACAAACTCATTGGACAGAAGACAGGTGTTCTGCTCAAGAAACCTTGATCACTTGCGAAACTGTGCTACCCACATCCGCTGGTGGGTGTAGAAAGTGACATGTGCAACAGAGAAAGACTTGGAAATGAAACAAAGGAGAGGGTAATGGATGAGATTATATTGACCGCATGTGTAGAACTGGTCCCTGGAGTTTGAGGAGAACATGGGAATTAGTAAGGTTAGTGGTCAAACAAAGCGCCGCCCGGTGCCATGCTGATCATGCCGATGATGTCATATTTCTCCCGGTGTAGATGAGGAATCTTGACTATACGTGAAAACACTTAAAACAAAAGGGTGCTCAACAGCAAGACCGGGATACGAGACAACGACTTGACCCAAAGGACAACCACTGAGAGAAGTTCCTCGAAATAAAAGTGGAGGGAAACTCTATGAGCTAGGCGGGCGCTAACAGGCGCGAGAAGATAACGCGCACTTAAAAGGCGTGCGTACGCGAGGCAAAGGCGCACAAGATGCGCGCATGAGCGGGAGGTTTGAGAATGCGCGCGCAGTGAAGCGAAGGCGCGCCTTGAGTGTTAAAGGAAAGGTCCTATTGAGGAGTGAATGCACAGATGGATGATTGACAGGAGAATAAGATCTGATATCAAGTGAGGAGGTGATCTATACACTTTCCAGTACACAAAGATAAGGGGAAAGTAAGTACCAGAACCAAAGGAAACCCTTCTGTATTTAAGAATGGAGATTGCGCTAAGCGGCGCGCTTCCGAGCGCACTCCCGAACCGAGTAACCATATCAACTCTAATTATAACTAAGTTTAAATAGACTTTCTATATGTAGCGCGGACGTCGGACCGAAGATTTTATTAGTTCAATGGACAAGATAGGAATAACGCACCAGTGAATCAGTAAGGACATGGGACGAATGGACGGACGATAGCGCGAAGACCTAGGAGAAGGCGCACGAAGCGTGCATAGCGCGTGTGCAGGTAAGGCGCACGCGAGTGCGCGCGAGACTGGTCCTTAGGATTAGAGCTGTAGCATATAGGAATGTATGGGTAAAGGCCGGATATTCGGCATTGAGACGCGCGAGTCTCTACACCGGTTATCATGATGATCTGATGCCTAACATGAAATATGTTTATCCTCCATGCGGTTTGTCAACTCTGGACTGTACAGCATGAAAGTAGCCGGTGCTTCTAACTGAATTTGTTATAGCGCTCGAGATCCGAGACCCGATGATGATTGATCTTGCCGAGACTCTAGTGTCTACAGTGGTCTGAGGCACTACCCCCCCATTCCTATTCATCATGTACGAGCACTTACCGTGTTGTAGTGTCGCTAGGTAACTTTGGTTGGCTGGTGCCTATCAATGATTTGGATGTCAGCTCTCTCAAGATTTTACGGCAGAAATGTGTTCACATTTCCGATCGATAAGTTGATTGTCAAGCCTTCCAAAGACGATTCTGACAACCAACTTATCGGAAAAGCTCAGCAGGACTGGTGATGATGTCATGAATCGTTCATCTCACCTTGCTTGCTTGGTGTGTACATTCAAGGAGTGTGTATTATAACCAACAAATGGCATCAGATGAATACAAAGAACATCAGCAAAACCCTCCTGGGCTAAATTTCATGTAATCTTGAAAGTTCGTATAATTTTTCCTAATTACTCGTGTTTAGAGACAAAGTTTATAACAATGTAGTGGCAATATGAAATTTTTTCACAACAGAAGAGAATTAGTAAGGATTATCTGAATATTGAAAAAGTATGTCTATCAATGTATGAGTTGACCCAAAATGTGTTACAGTCCTCAAGAACAGTCTCACTCGTCCATTCTCGCAGAGCCGAGTCTCCAAACTTCGGTATAAGGTGGATACTGCGCACGATATCACCCACTGGCACGATACTAGCCACTCTGTCACTACCTCACACCAATCTTGACAGTTTATAAAGTCCATTGTTTCGGTCCAGAGCAGGTGGGAAGGGAGTGAACCATTCGATATATGCGAGGTGAGGAGGAATGTTGACAGTGGGTGGAAAGAGCAATTGTAAAGACTTTGGGGGCAAGGAGAATATAACTCGAACTTGACCCACACTGAAACCTAACGAGTCAGTGAGCAGCATAACAATCAGACGGCCGGCACCGAATCACGCACCTTTGAGATCATTTGTAACCGAGTCTTCGCAATAGCTAGAAGACGATAATGTGGGATGCAAATATCACAAAATGTCAAGAATTACTTGAATATACAAGAAGTATATCTATCTAAATACGAATTCAATCAAAAATTGTTACAATCATTCAGAACAGTGGGACGCCCCACCCAATCCCAGCAGCCACCAGTGCTTAGCGCACACACCCGGCGCACGTCAGCGAATGCTGACGTGGCTCGAACATGTGCGGAGGACACTGGAGAGCACCAGAAGAGTGGAAAGAGGTCCGAGGCAGGAAGCACGAGATGGAGGGTAGGATGTAGTGTAGGGCGTGAGTGGTGGTCATAGTAGCACGCTGCAAGGTTAAAGATAGTAGTAAACAAGAAAAAAAAACATGCGCACCTACTACTGACTAGAACAAGTGGCGAACAACTGAGTAAAATTTCGTTGAAGTTCATCATTTGCACATATTTGTTTCGCTCATGTGACTGTTTGTTGATATCGAACCATTTGTGTGTATTTGTTTGGCTCGCATGACTTTGGTTTGGAAACTTTTTGAACTTCCGACGTCAATCCCTCATGCCTTAATGTTCAACATCGTCAGCCTCAATCATCAAGCTGATAGGTATGTGTAAGGATACTATGTCCTCTGCACTCCGACCGAACTTATAACTAATGCAAATGCAGTCCACATGTCTCAATGATGCGAAGACCTCTACTCTTCGTATCCGAGACACGCAGATACATTCCTTCATATTTTTATGATTCCTCTTGTACTTAGAAACACCTTATCTTATGTTATGTGACAGGCGTCACCTCGTGTAGAACACAAGCCTTCTCGTCGCGCTCACCCTTCTTCCAAAGTCCCTTTCATCGGATTTCCCTTTGTTTCTCAGCATATCGTACCATATTTTGAGCCACTTGGCTATCCCTTTCACACTTGTATGTATATATACTCTTCAAATATCCATGTATTCAGTGTGCAATCCAGAGCCTTCACCACAAAATGTCGCAAGTCCCAGAAACGTCTCCGCTAAATACATTCCATCACACTATCTTCTCGACACATCAAAACTCAAAACCTCTTATATCAAAACTCCATCGTTCGTGGAACCCCTTCACACTAGCTATTATAAAGCCTTACATATGTCTTAGGTTTTTTAAAAAGTTCTATCTAACATTTGCAACTACAAAATAGGTATCAAGTTCATATCAACTTTGCTTGGATCCGTTTGAAGTGAGTGTGTTGGTCCTTGTTCCAGCCAGAGCCATGCTGATCCAAGTTGTTGTCTGCCATTCGCAGGTAGTGAGTGCGTCGATCATTGTTCGAGCAACCACCCAACTGCCATGCTGATCCAACTCGTTGTCTGCCAGTTTGCAGTGGGTGAGTGTGTTGATTCTCCTTCAAGCTCGAACCATGCTGATCGTTGTTGTTGTCTGCCATTCGCAGCATGTTGATCCTCCTTCCAGGGGTCACTGTATGTCCTTTCTATAAATCCACTCGTGCGTCTTACTAATGTAGCTTTATTAGCTTATACTCATCCACACATTCACACCTGTATGTGCTTGTCCGCACTCATTCTTGCTGCAACAGGTACAGCTTTGCTTTATCTAAGCCAGGGATTAGGTATTTGCAGTCAATTGTAGCTATACAGTAATTACTTTTGTGTCTATATTCTACAAGTGTCCTATGTTGGTCATTACTAGCTGTGTTGCTACTTTACATACCATTTTCTAAATAAAAAAACTAATTCTTTTGTGTAATATTGTCTGATGGTGTTTAGATTTGTGAATGATACTCTTCTAAGTTTGAATGGATGGTCTCTCAAATGCACGACAAATTTGTCAAATAACTAATGATTGTAACCAATTCTGTCAAAGTTATTTGGGGTAACATAATCCATATGATCCTTCTAACCAGACATTTTTTTGAGAAATTATGAGAAATTAGCGAATAATTTTTGATAATCATGTATATTTAGCCCAGGAGGGTTTTGCCGATGAATATGTGTACTTGGTGATACATGAATGATTGTGACAGCAAACAAAAATAGTCAGCTGCAGTAGCAGGAGTGAAATTTGATTACATTTCATAGTCATCCTCTTTCTCATCCTCCTCTTCTTTGGCAGGCTTTGTGACCATGTCTAATTGAGAAGTGGAGTTCATGAAGCCTTGATCAAGACTCCAGGAGCTCTGCTTCTGCGTCGGACTAGTTGGGTATTGTCGACCGTTCACACGTACCGCACGTGTGAACGGGCGACAGCTGTGAGTGCCTCTACAAGAATCACGTCTCATATACCCTAATCACCACAAAATTAATGATGAGATGCGTCAATCATAATAGTTGGGATACGGAGTTCTCTTTGTTCCAAGTCCTTCGTATCTGTAAATCTATTTAGTAGTGCTTGAGGAAGAGATGAGGAAGCAGAGCCCATTGAGAGCCCAGATCCGTGATGCTGATCGAGGATTCCTTGGTACAGGATGGGTGGAGCATACGCGTGTGGGTTCGTGCCTCACGGAATAGATCATCGATTCCGTGAGGTGCGAACCCCCACGATGATACAGGGCGTGCGCAGATGGGTCTTGTAGGGGATCAGCAGCATTTAAGTAGCGGTGAACATGAGTGGCGTGCAAGAAATCGCCCTTTGTCCCACCTGATGCACAACTCTAGCACCGCATCAAATCATCAGATCGCTATGACAATAACAATAATATATAGCGATCACAATAGTGTGCATGCTATTGTGCCATAGACAATAGAAAGAGTATCCGTAATTGGTAATGATTGACAGCAAACAATAAAACAATCAGTAGCGGTGAAATTTGGTCATGCATCCTTAAATCTCATTAGCCTCCCAAAAATCAGAGTCGTCCTCTTCCTCGTCCTCTTCTTCTTCGAGTTGAGAGACATTTACAGAAGTCGTGAAACTGGGTGTTCCACTCTGCGCGTTTTGAGACATTGGCGGGGCAAACCTAGGGTACGGGCAAGCATATGCAAACACCATGGTAGGTGCTGCCACAGGTGCGGGAGAAGCAGAGCTCCCGGAGTCTTGACTAGCTGACGGCGGGGCGACCACAGCTGTGGCCCGTTCACACGTGCCGTTGTCCAGATGCCTTTTGTATGAATCACTTCTCGTATAACTAATCACCACAACATTAATAATGAGATGCGTCAATCATAAGAGTTAGGATACGCACGATTTGGAACAAACAGAACATTTAATTCTCTTTAGTTTGGAGCCTTGGTGTTTGATGGATATCGTGTGCCTACGATAGCCGTGGAGTCCAATTTCCCCGCCGTCTATCGAGCAAACAAATTTCCCTGTGGGTTGACCGTATTCATCAACTACGGGTTTCTGTCCCAAGGTTTGAGAGTGCGACCTCAATGAGATGAGAGAAAAAAAACTCACGAACAGCGGATCGCTGTATATCTTGTGTAAGCTTGTTGTTGATTTTTTGGCCTTGCAGCGTCGACGGACTTGACAGCTTGGTGCTTGAGGCAGAGACGAGGAAGCAGAGCCCATTGAGAGCTCAGGCCCGTGATGCTGGTCGAAGATTCCTTGGTGGGGGATAGGTAGAGCGTACGCGTAAGGGTTCGCCACTCCCGGAATAGATGGGAAGTGTTGATGATATAGGGTGCGCGCTGGTGGGGGAGCAGCGACATTTGGCGGTAGGTATTGGCCAATCTGAGTGGCGCGCGAGACATCAACTGCAGGGGGGTAATGACCATTTTGTCCCGCTTGGAACGCGTGGTGCGCAACTCCAGCACCCGCATCAGTCGAAGGTACGACAGGCGTGTATTGGGGCGCGGGACCACGCGTCCAATGAGGCGGCACACCGTACGGGTGGTAGGTGGCGTAGCCTGGATAGGGAATGTATGCGGGCTCGAGCCCGGGTAATCGACCCATATGCATGCTACTGCTTCCTATGTGTCGTGTTGCTTCGGAAGAATCCGAACTGTGTGGTGAGGAGGCAGGGGGGGTGGATTGGGTCATCTGGAGGTGACAAGTAGATATGGTTAGAAAGCACAAGCGTTGAAGCTGGGGAGAGCCGTACCTGGGCTCCCATATAGTGATTTGAGATGTTAAGGTTGTCTGTATGCGTCCGTGGTGATAGAAAGTCCAGTAGATGAGGGACAGAGGGTGAAGGCCACCGTTGTATATGCTCATCCACCGCTGGTATTCTCGAGGTTTGCTTCCACTGGGAACTTCCTTTCGGGGAAGATTGTCTTTGGGGCGCCATTATTCACTAAACGGACGGTGGTTGTTTCCTTCGACGCGTCAGTTTTTCTTCCACACTTGAGTTGTTCAGTCTTGTTTCAAGTGCACGATGATAAAAAAAAGAAGTGCGCCGTTGATGAACCGTGGAATGTTTGTGTTCCCCTGAGGTCAACAATCTGATTGGGGCATCGTAACTTATGTTTCTGGCTCCGCGAAATAGTTGAACAATCGTAAGTCCATGGCCGATTCGCATGAGTGACAAGACTCATCAGGTCTCCACGAGTCATGTCGGTGCTCTGGGAGAAACAGTCTGGTGAACTGGTCAACAACAGTCACCAAGAACGAACCCACGCGAGGTGCAATAGGCGATGCAAAATCCAATGTACACCTCTCGCATCGCGTTCTAAACCCGTGATTTTAGAGACAGCCAGCATCCAACTCGAGGATACTCAGGCTCAAGAGCGAAGCTTCACGCGAAAGATCACCATAACTGCATTTCCTTGCGCGTACTCACAATTTTATTTGGTTTCCTTTATCACATCGTAACATGCCGTCGTAGATTCTGGCCCAATCTGACCAAGCTAAAGAACCGACCAAAATTTTATTTTCCTATCTTCAAATCTACACAGTCGAGTTGAAGGAAATCGCCGCCTTGCAACATTAGTCGATTGACGTAAAGGTGTGTCTTTGCGACCCAACTGAGAGCCTACAACCGATCGCTTTTTAGTGTTTGTACGAAGAGCAAGACA